AAAGTGACTTCAGAGCTACTAATATAATGTTATTTGAATCAGATCAGATCATTCATCAGCTAGATATTTAACTCTGAACTTCTATTCTCTCAGTCAGCAGATTAAGCAATTTAATCTCATTCTCAGTACTTCAAATATTTAGTAATTTGCAGAAATTGCAATAGCAAATTAAGAAGATCAAAAGCTTTATAAATAATCAGTAATCTCAAGATTTAGTAAAAGACTTTGATCAAATTATCAAAATCTATAAATATAAAATAATCAATATCATTATTATAAAAAAGTAATATTAGAATATATTTAATGCAAATGAGAAAGAGAAATAAAAACACAAAAGATCTGTCTGAAGAATTCAAAAAGAAGAAGATTTAATTAAACAGAAAGCTACTCAATTTGCTATTTCAGCTACTGTATTCATTAAACATTCAATCATTCAATTCTTTGTATTTTTCTATAAAATCTTGATCACATTCAGAACTTTTATAATGATGTAGTAATTGCAATTTACTTGATCATAAAAGAATAAAATACTCTAATTCTAGTATAATTTAATTTAATTTAATAAAGTATTATTAATATAAATATTTCAAATTAAATTTTAGCTAGTTAAAATATAATAATTTTAATAATTTACTTGAAGATGTGATTTGCTTAGAAGTGAATTATATTAGTTAATAACTAATTATATTATATACATTTATTATTAGTGAGTGCACCTTATTGTAAGAAAAATATTACTATAATAAAAATCTTTTTCTTGTATATTTATTATCAATCTTCAAAAATTAATAATTATTAATATCATATTTAATAATATTAAATATTTAGAAGATTAAATTCAGATAATATTAGATATTATAAAATTAAAATTTAATTTAAAAATTATAAATATAATATAAGAATTTAAAATTCTATATAAAACTTTATATAAATATATTAAGAAAAAAAGATCAAAAAATATAAAAACTTCAATTAATTGAATATTGAGTAATAGTTAGAATTTATGAAATAAATAAAAACTTTTATTTTTTTATAGTTGAACATATTAAAACTGCTATATATTAATTCTAATATCTCTTTTTTTACTATGAGCAAAATATAAGTATATTAATTCATTAAATATCTATTAAATTATAAAAAATCAAGTAGAAATTTATAAATTTAAAATAAATATCAAATAAAAATATAAACTTTGTTATTAACTGATTAAACTGCTATGAATATATCTTCAATCAGTATAAATTTTATATTAATAATATTTATAATTTTAATAAGATTAAATTTTAAGAAAAAGAAGAGTGTGAATAATAAATTATAATTGTCTATCAAAATGTCAATTCTGTTATACAATTATCATATTTTTATAAGTTAATAATAGTGATAAAATATATTAGTGCAAATGATACAGTGTTGAAGTCATTAATTATAATAAAATTAAAAATTTATTTAGAAGATTGATATATACACTTTAATTTATTTGATGATTATATTATCATCATATTTAATACTGACTTCACTAATAATGAGATCAAATTTAAATAAATAAAATATTTTAATACTATTATTAAATAATATCAAATTATTAATTATTATTATTTGATAATTATAAATCTTATTTTACTGAAGAGTTTCTTCAATATTGTGACTTTATAATATTATTATATTTGAATTTTTATCTCATATAAATCATTTTGTTATTTTTTAATAATGTGTTTTTTCAACAATAGAAGCATTATCATATAAAAGTAGTTAACAAAGCTGTTTGATACTAATATAAACAATATAATAAGAGATAATTTTTTACTGATCTAGAGAATACTTGTTATTAAATCTTCAAATGTATCATTATCAGAGCTAGATTTACTGATCATAAAATCTATTTAATCAAATAAAAAGTAATTTCTCAATAGTTAAAATAATATAATATATATGACAGCTCAGAGCTACTTATTTATAATAATAATGATGAAAAATACTTCAATTTTACTTCATTTTCTGAGATCTAACTCTTTACTATATCTTCTCAGTTAACATTTTTAAATATAGTTATAAAACTACATTGTCAAATCAAAATAGCAGATAAGATCATATAAGAAATGAAAAACACTTTGACATCTGATCTAATCTGATAATTAAATAAGATTTTCAAAAAGAGTTTGATATAGATAGAATTGAATGCATATTGAGAGAATGAATTATCTGTTTATTATTTGATAAATAGACACTGAATTGTCAAAAACAGTCACAGACAGGTGCAGGTAGAAGAAGTCCTCACTATCAAGAATGCCAATCACAAGATCAAGCATTGTAAGAAAGAAAAATCAATAAAAGAGAGAAATTGAATCCTATAGTCAGTTGAAATCAAAGTCTTCAAATCAAATGTCAATCAATCACAACATGATGTTATTAATGAATCTCAATCTATCAGAGATTCTACACACTCTAATGAGTATATAGATAATCTTTATATTATAGATAGGCATGGTGTTGACCATTAATTAATTTTTGAAGATTGGTAATCCTAGAAGATTTTCATTACAGTGATATTTTCTTTACAGTGGGGCGCACTCACTAATGGTGAGTGCGCGTGGCACGGTAGTTGGCTATGTCATGGACATGACAAACTGCTCACCTACTCAATGGCTGCTTCTCGAGAGTTCCCAACCCGGTCCCATTCAAAGCCAGATTCCTTGAAAGTAAAACGGGCCTCAGATCATGGACCAAGCGCCGCTTGTGTTCTGTTCTCCATATAGGGTTTGCACAGGCAAAGGAGGTTGGGCCTTACAAAACCATCGCGGGTATCTCTACAGAAGGGAACGTGTAAATGGTGGTTTATTCCCGTACATTCTGCCCCTAACCGGCTCCAGTAGACGACCTCGTAATTTCATCCTTGTGGACTCTACCCAGAAACAACAGCCCACGGATCCTTCCTCTCTTGCGGTCTACGTTACCCCTCGGTGCTTCTAACAAGTTTGATGCCAGTTCAAGACAAATGTGTGCTCTCTCAGTGGGTATGATGAAAGAAAGGGAGCTGCCACGGAAGGGGGCCGATCCAATATTCAGTGAATTAACTAGTTAGTTATACGGCATGTGCTGTATCTGATCAACTGCAAGAATTACAACTAGCTCTTGTCAAAGCGTGTACAATCCTGGCAATTCCCATCCGCTGCACAAGATTACAAGATCAAGTAACATTTCTTTCTAAATGATCGAACAGCCACACGATCAGATCTATTGTGGCCAGAGTCAGAACTTCTGGTTTAGTTTCTGCTACCAAACTACAATCAAATATTGAAGTAACCGCGTGATTGAGGCCGCTTATTTTTCGTCTGAACGTTGGTCCAGCGCGACGACTGCACTCACCATGCATGTTTCTTACATATGCGACTGGAATACTGCTGACCGACTAATTTCCTCCAATTAAATATAAAAAATATTCCACCCTAGTAATTGTTAACCATCTCTGGGATTCAATTTAGGCAGTTCAGCATTTAACTATTCAAGCATACAGCGCTTACATGAATGAGATCACGTGCATAAACCTCCTGGATAGATTTCGCCCGCCTAGCTAGCTCGCTAAACTCATAGTAGTAATAGCATACGCGACCTAGCATTCCTCCTAGATTAATTCACCTATATAAACCCCATGTGTACTTTGACAATGATAACGGCAGTACTTCCTGGAAGGTTTTGATATGTTCGCTGACTGTGCCATAAGTGTAGTAGAAGAGTGCTAATTGTTGATAATGATTAAACAACGAAACAGGAAATCAAAATTTGTCTGGTGTCTTTCCCCACAAAGAAAATTCTAAAAGTTGCAGTTTCAATTTATCACTCTGTGAAATATAATCCATGATTACTTTTGATGTTCTGGGGCAATATAGTTCCGCTGACATCTGCGCCACTTTTTACATCTGGAACTATGCCCTGGGAACTACTTGAAGCATGAGCATGATTCATATTCAAAAGTGCCCTGAGAGCAGAGAGCTGCTTTAGGTGAATAACTCTCAGAGGCCTTGTGGAGAGTTTAAAAATCATGGTCTCTGCCACTTTCTTAAATCTAGCGCTATGCCCTGGGAACTACTCGGAAGCGTGGGCATGGTTTATTTTCAAAGAGCCTTGGGGACAGGTGGCCGTTTTAGGCGGATAACTCGGCCTTGTGAAGAGGTAAAAATCATGGTCAATGCAAATAATTGTGTGGAAGAAAGAAGATCTCTCTTAAGTTTTAAAAATATTCTAGGGATTAAAAATGCCCCGGGGTTATAAAATGTCTGAAGAACCATGGCATTTTCCGTGAACAGTGTGTTTTCCCTCAAGCTTAAAGAGCATCTCAGACACTAAAATGCCTCAGGACTATAGAATATTTCAAGAATCATGGCATTGATACTAAAATGTGGTCTTTCTTGAGATTAGACCGCATCCTAAGAACCAAAAATGCCTCAATAATCTTAAAATGTTCAAGGGAATCATGATATCTGAGATATACGTGGTCACCCTCAAGCAGAAAAGGTTCTGTTGGGAATTTTTAACCCCTGAGGTGGGGTGTTACCGTATCACCCTCCAAAAAAATGCCGTAGAAAGTAAAACAGCCCAAGGAGATACATAAATTGATGCACGTTAAGCATTGAAAGAAAGTGCCCCAGGAAAATATTTATACTGGGCGATTGTCTGTACCATCGCCGTCGCTTCTGTTATGCGCATATTTTTGAAAGAGATACGCCCTAGGAACAACACGTCCTATTGGAGTTATAACAAACGGAGCTCTGACGCTTAAACCCTGTATTTTACTTTTTATATTAATTTTACGTAGGTGGTAATTTAGGGGAAATCCCTCGCCCATTGTTCGCCCGTCGCCGCACGTCCTAGCATCAGTAAGCCAATCACTCAGCCTGAAGTCAAGGTTGTGCAAATATGTCTAAGGAAAGGAGGGTGGCCAGGAGATTAGTTGCACGTTCTCCTGCTTTTCCTTGGCTTTTTGAATACTGGAGTTCGTTCAGCGCATGAGATATGTGGAGTCAATAGAGCCCAGCTCACTCACTTCCGGTTCAGCTGCCTGGCTGCTCCTGAGTGCAGTCCGTTCAAAGGGCGTCGCTAGGCGGTTGTTTCAGTACCCGAGAGATCCTGGCTCACGAGTTCGATTTCGCAGCCAATGCATTATCCGGTTGGCAGTAGCCGATAAGGCGTTGCGAATCCATCGGGGCTTGCAGGAGGGACGGGGATCGCTGGAGGGGTTTTCAGGCCCGGCGCAAACCAGCAGCGGTAAGGAGCCTCTCTGTGGAGGTGGCATCACGTCTGACGGTCTACACGTCGCGTCGAGCAAGGGGCCCTGGACTGGACCTTCATCCACGATCCTCCATCAACATATGACGGGGCGCTGGGTTGTGCCGTGGATGGGTCACTGATGCCGGTAGGCGATTGTGAATGAGGGGGAAAATGGGAGATTTGATCTGTGTGGTTAGTGGTTAATGAAAGACGTGAGAGATGAACGCAGGTGCTCTGCAATACATCTTGCGCCATCGGCAAGTTTCCAGAGTTGGGAGCTTATGAAGCCAGGTGGACACTCTCCACGCTGATGTAGTTGTAAAACGAGAGACTGAATTTGATTGCAGATGCGCCCTGCGAATCTTGCGTGCTCACACCCGTACCAAGCCCTACTGTCCTCCGTCTACACCACTCCTCACACAAGGCCCTCAGCTCCACCATCGTCCAGATGCGCACCAACAAGATTGGACCACGACAATTCCTATACATAAGAAAGGTGCCGGAGATCACCGATCACCCTATGCGAATGCGGGAGCAATCAGACTGTACGACACGTCCTCCTGGCGTGCCCTAGATTCAACAGCCTTAGAGCGGAAACATGGGAAGACAGCGATGGAAGAAGGGGAAAGATTGGATCTCAAGGAGATCCTGACCACGCCTAAGCTAGCTAAGGCCGCAAGATTCATGATCTTAACTAGACTCCTCGGGCAACCGCTAGTGGGAAAGGGGTATATAAGGGGATCCTTTTCCAGGCCCCTGTTTAGAGCATCTTAGTATTTCGTTGAGATAGCTTACCTTGTTGGCAACGAACAACCGTTTATCTGCGCCTAGATTGAAGTCGTAACAGTTATAGAAATTTTAAATATATAACTTTAAACTCTTATTTTTTTTAAATATAAACTTAAGTATTATAATAAATAAATATTTATTAAAAGAAGAAGTATAAAGTTAAAAAAAAATCTATAGTTAGCTTAAAAGACATTTTAATAGCTGTGAAGATCAACTATATGCTTTGCAGATTTTTGAAGCAGTTAAACAAAAAGCTACAAGTTACTATAAAAGCAGAGAACACTACACTGTTGTTACTACAATCAATTACTTCTCATTGGAACTAGATATTCATATATAAATCTACAAGCCAGCTAGTGATTTTAAAATGCAATAACTAAGAATGTTGATTAAACATTTCAATTTTTGGTCATCTCAAATCGGATGGGCCGCTTATAGTGGGCCGCTCAGTGGTAGATTACGTTAAGGAACATGGCTGAATGATAAGTTACTGTGTTTACTATTGATACTTCACCTTATTTGACACGTGATCGGTGATATATCGGGCCGCAGCGAGCGAAGTGAACGGCCCCTCTTAAGTATGAAAAGTTGTTCACTTTCAAATGAAAACCTACCTTCATCCCAGTTCCAAGTCTAAATAAACATCAGGAGTTCAAAGTTGTTTTCCAGCATGTTTCACGATGTTTTTGTTGCAGCGAAAGACTGGGGACACTCATACGTGTGAAGTACAGCGAAAGGACATCTTATAACTACATCTTCTCGTTCTGGTGGCCTCTTGTCTAAGAGAGAAGCAGAACAAAATACGTAACGTATCTTCTCTGGATCAGCACAAGTCGAGGGATGCATGAAACGACCAACTTAAGTTTCGTGTTTAACCGGAGTTCTATTATCGCAAAGTTTGGCTGCCGAGCTTTTTCAAACCCGTGTCCCATGGATATGCACAAAGCAAATAATCTTATTTCTTAGGGTTGCTCCGGTCATTTGTTTTCTGTTTTTATCTCTCCCTTATCATGTGGAGATATACATATATCTCACATATATCCCTCCTGCTTCCATTGTGTTTAGTTTTTAATTTAGGTTGTGGTATAATTTTCGTTGTCAATATTATTACTCTTCTGCTCTTTATTTTGATAATTACCTAGTTAAATAACGTCGCTCACTGCTTGTACAGAGAGACCTCAAACGAGAATATTCGATAAACAGAATTACCTTTCTAACGATCTTTGTTTCTCTCCGTTTAAATGAGACCTTCATCATTCCCTCGAGGGGGGTTCAGGTAGTCTATTAGGCGTGGTCGTTTGAGCTGTATCTACCCGTCGGGGATAGGTTCAGATGACCTACACACAAGATGGCTTTGTCGGGATATTTGGATTATGAAATTGTGCGAGCGGGGGCCAGCTCGAAGCTGTCAAAGCTGTCGAGGCTGCTGTACCAGTCGAATAAGACAAGGCTGTTCTGGGCCATTGCTGGTGCGCTGCTAATCGTGATGTTAATATTTTCTAGTGGATGGCATCTCGTACGTATCTACTTAGGTACCTGAATATAGAGTTAAAATTCCACTGACATCATCTCAGATTTTTGGACCTCCTGATTTCTCTGTGCAGCATCCTACGCAGCCTGTAACTATGCTCGCGCAGGGTGAGATATCCCCCCTCCTCAAACCCTATTCGCCCAAGATGAACAAAAATGGCACATTCGCTAGTGGAGTTAAGAAGACGACCCCAAACTTCTATCTCATTATCCGGGGTAGCTGGAACGATACCAGAATTTGCAGGACACTATTCACATCCATGATTCTTAACTACCCACCGCCTACGGCTGTTTATCCGGACGATTCAACACCGAAAGAAGGGCAGGCAGAGCAGAGCGAATTAGATACGGCTCTAGTCATGTACAATTATCTCACAAAGAGCAACCATATGAAGGATGACGATATCCTTTTGATTGTCGACAATGACATTTGGTTCCAGCTTCCACCCGAAGTCATGCTTCAACGCTTCCATGAAATGCTGAAAAAAAGTAACGAACATTTGCGGCAAAGGTACGGTTCTGTACTGCGGAATATCGGGAAAGAGGCGGACATAAGCGTCCTCACATCAACTCAAAAGTACTCCCAACGCATAATCTTCGCCGCCGATAAGATCCGTCGCCCAGACTACGCATACGGTGTTTCAGGCCTCGCAGTCCTGAATTCCACCCTGGCACCGGACATCCATGGCCCGGAAACCGATTCTGGTAAAAATACAATCCAGAGTCGATCGAGATGGTTAAACGCAGGCTCCCTCATCGGCTTAGTGGGCGATGTGAAACTCTTGTATAAACGCGCAGCGGAAATAAATTCCAAAAATGTCACACCAGTCGACGAGCAGACAGTCCTTTCCCAAATATTCAAAGAACAGGAATATGTCCGAGAACTCGACAGAAGCATCTCTCTACCCAACTGGTACACTAAATTAGGTAGATTACTCGGTATCCTCCCCCGTGTCAACATCTCGAATATATTCGTAAATACAGATCCAGGTCGCCGCTTCGAATACTCTATCGGCCTAGACTACAAATCCAACCTCTTCTTTACCGCCTCCCACGCAGAATCAGACTTAGAATGGCTAACATACAACAACATCTCCCGACTCAACTCCCCCAAACTGACCCAAAGAGTACCCAACAAAGCCCCCCTCTATTTACCCAAGGATATATCCCGGTATACCAACCCGTTCAATCCGCCTGACCCATTGATAAAGGAACTAATGCCCCCCTACAACGAAACGGTCGATTACCTACCAGACCCCCAAAACACCACCTGGCACGCCATCCCGCTCGCCACAAACGTCCTCTCAGCTTCCATTCCCACCTTGCTCTGCACAAATCCAGACAACACAACCATGACCAGCGACACTCTCCACGCCTGGTGGGATAACATGTGGTACCACCCGTACTCCCGCCGCGCTGCTGCGTAAGTATATGCGGTCATCCCGCAGCGCGCAGGAGGCGGAGAAGGCGCTCTTTGGCTGGCCCGGAGCGACGTGGAATGTGCGTGGCGGCAAGGGGGGTCTGTGGACAGAGGATAATTTGTGGATGGATTGGTCGAGGACGTGTAAAGGGGTTGAGGAGCAGGTGTTTGGGGATAAGTGGGGGTTGTGGGGTGAGGAGTTGGGGTTTGATTATCAGGCGCCGGTTTTTAATAAGTTTGGGCTGCTGGTTAAGGGGAAGGAGCGGGCCGAAGGGGAGGATGGCAGGAATCGGGGGAAGAGACGGAAGAGGGATGGGAGTGGGTAGGGGATATGGAGTCGGTGGTGTTGGCTTTAATGACTGGAGTTTCTTCAAATATACAACGACTGTCTTGATTGACGAGTTGATCTTGACTCTTAAGAGGGGTTCGTATCGCTATTGCTTTCTTGCATATACTTTAAAACTGCTTTTCTATTATCTTTATGAAGATGCATGTATGCTTTTACCAGCCGGTTTTCATTCTTCTAGCTCCAATGCTTGTCAGTTCAAGAATGCCTGGCATTCAGTTGGTCGATCTCCTCATCCAAAACTTGTTTGGTAATTTGTGATTTGTTAAATCAGGTTAACTCCTCTGAACAGCTAGATATAGGTACTAGTAGATGGAGGGGAAGACCCTCCCTCAGCATTCGTCTAGCTAACCCCTTAACCCCTATCATATCTCCCACTGGAAACTCCAAAAGAGCAGCTACAAAATTCTAGCAGCCTCTGCAGAGTTGCAACCTGTTCTTCTGACAATTCTGAAATGAAGGATCAGGGAATCTGTCTGTGAGTACTCTCTTTTCCCATTAAGCTTAACAAATCCATCAAGTTCATCGTAAAGCTCTTGTAGTAGAAGGTGGTTCTAACTGATTGAATAGCAAAGGGTTTATTTGAACGATTGCCAGTAATTTCAATAACCAGATGCAATACTACATTGCAACTTCAAGAATCCTCTAAATGTAGCAGGAGAGTAAAAATGCAAAACTGGTAAACTCGAAGTCATCAGCTTCGGAAGCAACTTCAACCGAAAAAGGGGGAGGGGGCCTGCTCCCATATCCTCCATCTTTATGCTGTCCCAAGGCACACACAAAAAACTCCACCCTCAACCCAGATAGCAACGCACAACATATGCTTGAAATGGTATACAGACAAACGTGAACATAGCCATAAAAGAACAACTCGTCGAAACACATCATCCCCCGCCGCCAGCAACAGAACTACCCCTCCTCCTACCCTTCCCCAATGTCTCCCTAACAACTCTCAATATCTCCCTAACATCTTCCGTACTCAACCTCTCCTCCCGATCCTCAATAACAGTATCCAACAGCGCAAGAGCACCATAATCTGCCTCCTCATCGATACCTTCTTCTCCACCTTCCCCCTCTCCACCCTCCGCCCCATCAACCTCCATACTCTCTCCCGCCCCCTCACCACCACCATCTTCTCCCCCTCCCTCTCCACCAGCGCCTGAATCAAGCCCAACACCCAAATTCACAATCATGAGCACCTCTGCCTTCGTGAGCTGGAACGGCCGTAGTTGGTGGATCACTTCGTGTAGGGCGATGTCAAGGTCTGTGGACTGTGTTTGTGTAGCATCGGTTCCGCCAGTGCTGGTATCATCACCTTCACTTGAAGCATCTGGAGCTGTAAAGCTAGGGTACTTCAGCAGGTGCGGCGAGAGGCGTGTTACGTAGTCATGGAACTAGAAGGTTGGATTATTAGATACTTTCTCTCCTGGCACAACTTCCGTTTTCCCTGGCCGGAAAAATTTACAAACCTCCTTAACAACCGTATTATGATCCCGCAAATCTGGCTTGGGTATAGAATTTCTCGAGTTGGGCGGCGGGTTGGGAGGTTTCCGTGGAGGGTTCAATCTGAAATGCGCCAGCACCTCGACATTTGTTAGGATTGCGGATTGCCTGTCGAGGATCTGTATGTGCAAGGATTGGAAGTCAAATTAGTATATCCTTCTGGAAGACCGGAACTGCTATTTGTTTACCTTCATGATATTGTCTATGGAGTAAAGGTAATGCTTTGTTACAAGCAAATGCGTCGGGGAATTACTCCCGACTTTTTTGTTTCATATAACGCAGCTTGGAGTTTGGAGCGGAGGCTAGCAGAAAATGGCAGAGCTCAAAGGCGGTGAGACGCGCCTGTTCTCGCAAGACTCCCAGACAAGAACGACAGAATGAGCGATTGCGGAACGTTCGGAATTCATACAGTAAAGATAATTTATTCCCAATTACCACTACATCTACATATGAACATAATTTGCAAATTTCAAGTTTCAAAAAAGAAAAAAGAAAAATCTGTAATGAACCCTATTTCATCACCCGAGCACCCTTGCGCCCAACTATAAAACAAAAAAAAAAAAAAAAAAAAAAAAAAAAAAAAAAAAAGAGAGAGAGAGAGAGAGAGAGAGGAAACGCGAGTATACTGGAAGATAAAACAAGTTAAATTCCGAGAAGCATAGATCTCGCCATACAAATGCAAGCCTGTATGTGGGAAGAAAGGAAGAGAGGAAAAAAAGGGAACATAGCTTGACCATATAGACAAGCAAACATGATATCATACACAAATGGAAACGGGGCCGAGCAACAAGAACGACGGGGGAAAGAAAAAGGAGGAGAAAAAAGTGCTGCATTTCTCAAGCCTTACTCTTCTTCTTCTTTTTCTTCTCACTCTTCGACTCACCCTCTCCATCATCCTCTGTCCGTTTCCGCTTCTTCCCCGCCTCCTTCTCAGCAGCCTTAGCAGCCTTCTTCGCCTCCTTTTTTGCTTTCTTCAGATCCTTCTTGCTAACCGCGATCGGGTTTCCTTCACTGTCAAATGTAATCTCGCCCCGTTCAAGTTTCCGCTGATACCGGCTAATACTAAGACCAGCCTTGGCAGCCATCTTTTCCAGATCGCCAGCAGTGCCACTGGCACCCTCCTTTGCAGATTTCTTCGATTTTTCCTTCTTGTTCTTGGATTTCTTATCTGAGGAACTCTTCTTTGATTTCTTTGATTCCTCCTCTTCGGATTTTTCTTCTGAATCCTCTACGTCCGACAAAGGTGCGGCAACTAGTGTTTTGGACGAATTGGCTACGGGCTTCTCGTCATCATCTCCCATCTCAACATCTTCATCAGACTCTTCCTCACTCTCATCTTCGTCCTCAGGTTCCTTAACTTCCTCAATCAGCTTCTTTTCCTTCTTTTGTTTCTTCGACGATGATGCAGCTGCACCTTCATCCACTGCTAGCCCATCAGCATCTGGGTTATATTTTCTAGCTTCGTTGATCTCCCATTTCTTGGGCTGGGCGGTTGGAACGCCGTTGGGGCCGATACCGACACCTCTCGGCTTAAGGGATTTGCCCTCCATAGCAGCTAACTTCTTCTCAAGATAGTATCGCGATTCTATACCAAGGGCAGCTTTCTCTTCTTCGGTAGGTTCGTTACCGTCAGCATCGACTGGCCAATCAGTCAGGGCATCGACGCGAAGACCAATGGCAGCCTTTGCGGCCAAAATACGGGCCATCTTGCCCTTGTTCTTGCCAGTGGCCTGCCCGATAAGAGACGCGTGGTAGATAAGACCGTATTTTGGGGTGTCGTGTTTAGTTTTTAAGGCGCGAAAGAGCGCCTTTTCAGCTCCCAAAATCTGAATAGTACTGGCAGGGCTCTTGGACAGATTCACCAAGCTTCCAGCGTGCGCAATCAATCGAGCACCCACCAATTCTCCCACCAAGGCTGTAAGATTAGGGGCGATGGCAGTCATTCGGGCGGACAAGTAGTTTGCAAGTTGCTGGCGGTACTCTGAGAAACCAACAACTTCCTCTGCCAGAGCTTGAATATTGTCGAGATCTTCCGCGGAGATATCCGTACCCATGGACCGGTCCGCAGCACCCTTCACAGCTGTCTCAATTTCCTCCGGCAGAATATCAGAAAGGTCCGCATTCTCTGAGTTGGAACGCATGCCCATTTTCAGCACGACTTTGGCGTAGGCAATGTTATCGTTGAGAATCTTGGCAAGTTCGGGGAAATGCCAGCCGTACCATTCCTTCACACGCATGGCATAGGTGTTCAGTTCCTTGTCGAGGTCATCCAGCAGACCAATGGCCTGGACAATCATGGTGTCGATTTTGTCTGGTGAGAACTTGAGCTTGTGTCGGGCTAACGAGTGAGATAGACCCAATGACATCATGGACATATCGGATGGCAGAAGGCCTGGTATCAGAGAAGGAAGATGTTCTCGGATTGCTCGGTAGAGATCCGTGGTAGTGGAGTCCGCAATTGGCTGTATTGAGAGTCCTGGAATTTTGCCAATGGCATTTCCTGAATACGCACACAAAGTAATTGTCAGGACAGAGTTGATTTTCTGGCATAGAACCGAAGAGGAAATGCAAGCATACCAAGTTTTGGATCCGCAACAGCCAACGATACCTTTTTCTCATCTTTAATCGATTCAAGCAAATTAGCCAATCGAGGCGTGACCTTCCCCTCAACCAGAGCTGCGACTTCTTCTAGCGCCGTGGCCGCATTGTCAAATTTCTGGAAATTCTTCAATTTCATGCTACAAAAGCGCCGGGATGTCAGCAATTCACTGTTCTCAATGCAAGCTATATTCATGACCATATATTCCATTAAGCTTATTGCAGCTCAATTTCTGTACATAAGATAAAACTAATTGAACACAACACCCTCCCCACAGCAACACTTACAGGTTGGAGACGCCCTCCGCCGTTTGAGTCTCAGCCACTAGATCATCGCGCTTCAACAGCTTTTTATCCTTGGCCTTGAGCAGCGCATAACCGGCGCTCGTCTCCGTAAGGATAAACAGCGTCATGGCGGAGAGAGTAAGACGTGCGAGTGTGTCTTATATAATCTCTATTTAATCTTCACAACAAGATTTGCAGGAGAATTGGCCGCACACACAGCACCGGAAAGAGCGACCCTGACAGCAACCAGGCGCAGTTGCCCTGTAGAGCCGAGCAGGAGACACGGCACCGGCGGAATAGGAAGGAAGGTGCGATGCGTTGGGAAGCTTGACGCAGCTGTTTCCCAGTGTGGTTGGGGATTGTGCTCCTTCTCTTTTTTTTCTCGCCGTATTATTATTATTATTATTTTTTTTTTTTTTTTTTGCAGGAAATTTCGCAGGGAAAGAAGCGAATTCTGCGCTGTGGTTGGGCAAAATACAAAAGCGGAGAGAAGAAAAGGATTATGTAATATATCACGTGAAATGGAGCTGTAGGAGTGTGGTTAGCTGAATAGAGGTTAGCGTATTGATGACTCCTAGACCAAGAGCTGCAACAACAGAACAAGATGAACAAGATCTCTACTATATTCGATATTTGATATTTCGGGTCCGGTGCTCGGGGTATAGATTGTATTATAGCTCGCAATGGAGGGCTTGTTCTTCAACGTAAATGGCGGGTATGTTATATTACAATGACTGCAGTTTCTGTTATTCCCGTTTACTGACCACTTCCAGGTATATCGAAGGTCTTGTCCGCGGTTATCGAAACAGCCTGCTCACCTCACAGAACTATGGAAACTTGACCCAATGTGATACTATCGATGGTATGTTATTCCTTCACCGGTTCCTGTAGGTGATGTTTACTATTTTGCATTTGCAGGGGAAAAGTGAAGAGCTATTTAAGAATTTGCCAAACTAACAAGATGATCATCTCCTGTTTCCCCGGAATGCAGATGTCAAGCTCCAGCTGGGTCCGGCCTACGGCGATTTCCTTGCTTCTCTTCCCCCAAACCCCTCCACCTCCTCCCTCGCTGGCAAAACCACAGAAAAGCTAGTGGCTGAATTTCGCTACCTACAAGCCCAGGCCACAGGCTCCATCGCTAAGTTCATGGAATATCTCACCTACGGCTACATGATCGATAACGTCGCCCTGCTCATCACAGGCACCCTTCACGAGCGGGATACGCGTGAGCTGCTCGAGCGCTGCCACCCTCTCGGCTGGTTCGAGACCATGCCGGTCCTCTGCGTCGCCACCAACATCGAAGAACTCTACAACTCTGTCCTGGTCGAGACGCCGCTGGCCCCTTACTTCAAGGGCAGTCTGAGCCACCAGGACCTGGATGAGTTGAATATTGAAATTGTCCGGAATATGCTGTACAAGAATTACCTGGAGGACTTTTATCGGTTTGTCAACTCTGAGCCGGGACTAAGGGGCACTCCGACATCGGAAATAATGTCAGAGGCTCTCGAGTTCGAGGCGGACCGTCGCGCTATAAATATCACGCTTAACTCCTTTGGAACGGAACTGTCTAAGGCGGAGCGGAAGAAACTATATCCTGAATTCGGGAAACTGTATCCCGAAGGCTCACTGATGCTGTCGCGGGCAGAAGATCTTGAGGGGGTTGCCTTGGCTGTAAGCGGTGTTGGGGATTACAAAGCTTTTTTTGACGCTGTGGGTGGTGTTGGTGGTGGGCTAGGGAATATGGCTGGTGGCGGTAGCAGTGATGGCAAGAGCTTGGAGGATATGTTTTACCAAAAGGAGATGGAGATTTCGAAGTTGACTTTTACACGGCAGTTTACCCCGGCCGTCATCTATGCATGGGTTAAACTTAGAGAGCAGGTATGTCTCATGTCACTCACACAAACTCTCTCTTGTTTTTAGTCTGAAGTGCTAACGTTTGAGTGCCTTCAGGAAATTCGAAATATTACCTGGATTGCGGAGTGTATTGCTCAGAATCAGAAAGAACGGATAGGAAATTATATTAGCGTATTTTAAACCTTTTTCATTGCACTTTTCATCTGGGGTTTGCTTGTACACTTTGTCTTTTTTTTGTCCGCTGGTGTTCTTCTGTTTTTCTGGTTTGTTGGGACGGATCCATTATATCATGGCATTTCTGTTTATCTATTTCACGTTTGTGCCGCATCTTAATACAACCACCATGCTTACCGATACAGTTGTCTTATAACACCCCTCCAGAGAGGGATATCAGATCCACCTCCAGCTTCTATGGGACATAAACCCCTTAGAAAAAGGTTTGAGGAATACTAACTACTATTCACACACCTCAGCACTAGATTGCTAAAACTTGCAAGGTGAAAGGCATTTTACGCAAATCTTCCTCCATGGGTCAGGTTATGGAACCGCCTTCTAACTGCCAGCAGGTGGTGGTCTGGATATTTTAAAACGGGGTTTGAATGCACTGGGTGTAACTGAGAAGGCGGGAAGATGCTATATAACTGACAATGCTCAGTCATAATTCAACCTCGGAACATAACCCAGAAGGGGATTTGCTTACCACTGCCATTGTAGCATTCCAAGCCTAGACAAGGAATTGGGGGTGGAGACTCGGGAAAGACGGGCAAAGATGCAGTTAATAAAACCTATGATGCCAGGTAAAATAGCTGCTTTTACTATTCACCCGGTCCAGCAGGGAAATCTGCAGGCTGGGTTACTCCTTGATCTGCTGTTTTGTGCTTATCAACCATTCTGATCCTCAGCGACTACATATTGTGTGGTCTGCGTTTCAGAATGTTGCCAATCCCCAATACTGGATGAACCAATGAAGTACGAACAAGTTGAAATGAACTCTTTGTCATATCAAGGGGGAGTTTGCTATTTCTATATCTAAGGTGACTCTTTCTGGAATTACTTCGTTGTCCATTCTCATATCCTGCCTTACCACTCAGTAGAATGCAGGTATGGATATCTTCCACAATGCATAGAGGTTAAAGCTGGACACTTGCGACTTGAAGGAAGTAGGTAAAATGATAAGGTGTACGGAGTAACTATGGTGTCATCAATTGGTTCTCTCCGACCAATATTTTGGCAATTCCCATTGCAAGCTCAAGCTCATATGTTCGCTTTTGAGCCTCTGATTATCTTCCAGTAAATTTCAACCACCACGCCCAGTTGGCATTCAGTCCAACGCGCGGCGATCGACAGCATGGTACATTGGTGGCCCCGTGGTTCAGTGATAGGGGGGAGTGGACATGGTCAAGGCATCTTAACGGAACCCTCCATAACGTCCTCTCTAGCCACTGAAGCCGGCTCTGCCGTCTCCCGTGGTGAGACTGATAGAACGTGGGACTACAACCTGTGTCCGAGGACAACCAAGACAATCAAAAACAACCGAACTTAACAAATTGCCTGAGCAAATTGACTATTGCCCAATCATAAACAGGCAATCTATCAACGTGGTCAAGGTCTCGGATTGGGCTGAGATGTTCGATTTTGCGTCCCTCCCGAGGTCTTGATGTCCACTATAGTTTAATTACTTGGTGGCTGTCTTAGAACTCATAGCTGTCGTGACATTGTCCCATATTTGAGGATCTTCTTATTGATTGGCTAGAGGCCGCAAAAACTAGTTATTTGGCTGGGGTCTTTATTCACTAACTTACGCTTAACGCCCCTCATCAAACGAAGCCGAAATTCCCTAGTATTAGCAGTTCTTTCACTTCAAACATGGCTACCAGCAACCCCCGGTCGATCGTCTGACAATGACATTTTACCATGGGAGCCAAACGCTAGGTGCTTCACAGGAGTTGTTAAGTGAAAGCCGACTGCACCATCCTCAGAACTAGTGTTGAACATCAGATCACTCAACCCCTGGCACCTGACGGATGGACTGTAGGAGTCAGCTTTTTTTAAAAAAAAACAAATGAGGAGAACATGATCTTCAACGCATCACCACGGGGTACTTGCGATGGAATTCCGGGTGAAAATGGAGGGTGCTGAGCATACAGAACTGGCCTGAACTTTGATCTCCGAATTATGATCTTGACAGCTATTCGTGCCTGCAGAATCAACAGCTCTATTGTCTATGAACTATGCAGGTAACAGATGCTGATCTGCCTGGCCAGTTTTGCTGTTGAATTCTGATCCGAACAAGCTTTTATGCTTTTTAAGACATCTTCCGGTCGATAACATGTCCAGCTTACCATTATATGGTTCCTGGTTCCTGTTGTATGTAACACACATTGAGGAGTGATCCTATCTGTTCTTTTGGAATTCGCGGCATTTACAGCGTACATGTGTTCAGTGTAGCCAAAAGAATCACAAGAGATCAAAGACACACTTGGCTCCAGAAGCCCAATGCTGACTCCCAGGGTTGCTCAGGCTGGTTTCTTCGGTTTCTCTTTGCTTTTTCACCCAATTGCTATGGAAAGTTGGCTTGTGAGCATGTTATTATTTTTCATGCTGATGTGACTTTGGCCACCTAACTATGATTTCTCTCATTCCTCGTTGACCCTTGAGAGGAGCATTTTGAACCTAGGAAGGTCATTGTGATTCGCCATTTTTCGCCCATCCCGCAGATCATCATCTATATTATTATGAGTTCAAACGACGAGAGCGGGAGCGTCATTCCATCATAACTCATCAGATTTTAGGTAACATGAACGGCTGTGCAGCTATTCGGCCTCATGCTTCGTCGATCTAAAATTCTGCATTTTAACGAATGATCAAGTGTTGCTGATCAGTGATCACCCTTTCTTTATTAAATCGCTAGACTTTGGTCTCGGGTGATTCCAAGGGCCTCTGCGATGGAGTTGTTGTCACACAGTGAGTGTATATAAATGACGGAGACCAGCAGGCCCCGCATCATATATCTCACTCTCCCTCTCTCCCTTGCTCGTCTCATTCCAATATTGCTTTCATTCTCGGCAAATTCGTCGTTTGAAAAGAATATCGCCCAGCTTTAAACGCTCATCCCAGTTCCGAGCGTTTGATATCCGTGAACCTTTAGCTTTTGAAAACCTGCCCACAGATACCGCGCAACACCCTTAGCAATGAAGTTCTGGGTTGCTTCTGCCGCCTTGGCCCTCGCTGGATCTGCTTTTGCCGTTCCAACCCCCATAGTTCCAGGGCTCGCACAGGTTCCAGGAGCTGGAGCCAAATCACCTGCCGAGGGCGCTCCTTTGAACATGGCCGACAAAATCATCCCCATAGTGAGCAAACTTCTTGGGTCTGAAGTCCTGGGCTCTCTACAGCGCTCGGGCCTCCCTGGAAACGGCCTTAACCCAGGTAAAGGAAACGGCCTTACCCCAGGTAAAGCACCCAGACAAGATGATGAGGATGGAGATGAGGCCTCGATGCTGTCCCGCAGACAAGACGATGAAGGTGGTTCTGGCGAAGATTCTCAGATGGTCCGCAGGCAAAATGATGATGATGACGATGAGGCCGCGATGGCCCGCAGGCAAGATGATGATGATGAGGATGAGGCCGCGATGACGGCCCGTAAATTGTAAGCTTTCCCGCTCGGTCAATTGATCTATATATCGATGTGTTCTAAAATTTTTTTTATTAATGATGTTTACGGTTATTAGCCTTTAATAATCTTTGGCACATGGCTCTGGAAAATGACCATCACCTTTTCGACTGGCTTGATAATCTCTCTATCGAACCAAGATTTCTTTGCGCACCGCGATTTTGAGAGCAGTGTTCCTAGGGTGAACCGCAAAATTATGATCTCATTGTGTCCTAACCAATATGCCTTTCACCTCTCCTTTCCTCCCACCTTTTCGGTCCGCGTAAGGGTAAGGCATAGACACACTGTGATGTGGGCTAATTTTGGTGCTGGATGGAGAATGAATCAAGGACCGTCTTTTTTTTCTTTCTTTTCTTTCTTTTTTTCTTTTTTTCTTTTTTTTCGTTGTTAATCTTTCAGATGTTTCTTTTTATAGCTACCTCATGGATTTCTAAATATTATAGGAGATAATCTGATGTTTTTTGGATCTCTTTTTTTTTTTTTTAAATTGAGGTTGATTGTAGTGCCTCGGGATGTGATTGATCACTCTCAATGAAAGATGTTGATATTTCTATCAATGGTTTAATTTAATCTTCTATTCTAGTCTGCTGGTTGGTATGCATGATATCATTTCCTGAGCTAACCTTTGTAGTTATTATTCCTACTTTATTTCTTGCCAAAATCTGGGAATGAGTGGTGTTGCAAAGAACCTCTTCCCTGTCTGTCTCTTATCCCTTCTGCTAACATCGCTGAGAAAAGAATTCTGAACAACGTATTTATTTCAATATCAACTGCGGCAGTGGCCTCTTCAATTTGACCCTTGTAGCCCAGTTAAAAATCATATACTTGGGATAAAATAACTATTGGTGCCTATGGTGGAAAAACATTTTTTGAAGACTTCAATTAATTTTACCTGCTTATTTCCAGAGAAATCGTTCCTGGTTCCGTCTCAGGAGTCATTGTTGGATGGCATGTTGGTGCTCTTTTCATTATATCACTACAATGAATCAGATTTGAGCTAATATAATCATTTCCTGTTGTGTTCGATGAACTGGACATGTCCACCTATTTGATAAGCTTGGGTTCTAATATCGTTGGTTACTCATCCAACATGTAAATTTTTCAAACGTGGAATTCATGAGATTTGGCTGTCGTGGCATTTAAATAAATGAACTGATCTGCCATCGCCTGTCAGAGATTATATTGATAGTTTTGTACCATTACACTTTCTCATTACCTTTGGTCTCTGAGCATTTCATCCAGCTCCCCCCCACCCCCCTGGGGTGTATTATAACCCAAGAAGAACGGTGGACCTAACTCAGAGCAAGTATGTATCCTCTTTGCTTGCTTCATGTCCTAATGTCCTTGCTCATCTTTTCTTCAGAATATCAGATAGCAGGAGATATTCGATTCCAAACCTTCCGATTGTGCCTCATCACGGATTTGTGATGATGCAAGTTCCCTGAAAATGCCGGAGTTTACGAATACTTCTCTGGAGGTTCTCCAGAGCATCGAGCAGCAGGAGCTCTTGGATTTAGTGGGCTGGCTTGTTAGGGAGGATTAAGTTCCTGTCTCCAATGGCCCCAATTGTGGTTTGCGGGTTGCCTTTAGCTGAGATTTTCTCTCCAAAGGTGTTGGCTCGCTTCGACGATAAATTGATTCAATTCCGAACCTGCCGAGGATTGTGGATGCGTGACCACTTGGAGAAAAGACGCAAAATGTTGGAGGATGGCCAGGAGGCATTTCTAGGGCGATGAACTGGAGCACGGTTTAAGGGGACATCCTTCTGTCTCAAAATAAGTTGGGAAGTGGCATTTGGCTAGTTAATGTATGCAGCTGTGAAATGTTAGAATGGACCATGGTATTGGGGGAACGGTTATGATAATAATGACATTATGACCCCAGACAAATCCATCCATTGAAACCCAAGATTCGTAGTTGGCTCAGCTCTGATCCTGTTTGCCCTCTCCCGCATCTTCCTTCATTATCAACGCTATGCGGCACCGGGTCCGAAGATCATAGATTTATATTGCGCGCGTGATGAAAATATAGGCATATTCTGCTACTCTCACTTGCAACATGACTGTAGGATGGTTTAATCATTTACTATTGGAAGGAAAATCTGTTGGGCATACGTTGCCCGGGCTATCGCTTCCGCCGCACGTGATTAGTGTATAGAATTTGTGGGATGGTTGAATCTCTCATATTGGGAGGCCTAGCTAGCTATCTAATATACGCTATATCACGTGCGGCGGGGCGGCCGCCCGGGCAACACACGCCCAACACCCCCCCACGCACCAAACGTGCGGGATATTATGTCCTCCGCGTATTCAAATCTAGCTATCCTATCCTAGATGTCAACTGAAACACGCTACATACAAGATTTTGCTAGAATGAACTATTTTCCTTGTGAAAGACCTAGCAAACTGATAAAATGTTTAAATGCCACTGTGCCTAGGGGTTTTGTAAGCCCGTCTGCCGCCATATCCTCTGTAGAAACGTGGTCAATCAAAATCACCCCCTCATTCAATTGCGTACGGGAATAGTGGAATCTAGTGTCAATATGCTTGCTGCATGCGGTAATCACTGCCATGGTGGTGAGATCAATTGAACCCTTATTATCCACTCTAATCTGCAGGGGGTCCTTCATAATAAATCCCATATCCAACATCATATTGTGAATCCACATAGCCTCATGTACAGCTTCACTAAGCGCTACGTATTTGGCTTCATTAGAGCTCAAAGATACGCAAGATTGCTTAGAAGATCGCCATGAAATTGGGGCACTCACTAGCAAGAAGATGAAACCTGATGTAGATTTCCAATCACCATTCAGGGGTCCTGCCCAATTGGAATCTGTATATCCAATGGGTGTAAATGTAGCATTTGGGAATTGAACGTGCTCATGATTGTCAGGCCCCTCATATGAGATGCCTAGATCACTCATTCCTTTCAAATAGTGTATGACATGGAGTAGAGCTTTCCACGCCTTGGGGGTGAGAACAGTGTTTTTCTGCACTAGAAGGGATGCCGCACAAGTGATATCCAGATGTAATTTGACTGTGAGATATTGTAAGCAGCCAATGCCATGTTGATAACACTGTTTTGTAAAACCAGCTTCTTTTTCAGAGACAGGAGAGTCGTCAATTCAAAGTCCTTCTTCCATTGGCATATGAATGGTGACAGCATCCTCCAGGTGGAAATCTTGCACTAAACAATTGATATACTGTTTCAGTGTCAATTTGATTCCGCCATCCTGGTGACATTCAACCTTCATACCCAAATATTTTGATGGCTCTTTGAGATCTTTGATCTCTAACTTGCTCACTAATGTTTCTACTAACCAATCAGTGTCCACAGGCTCTTCCACCATTATGTGAAGATCATCAATGTAGATTGTCATATAGAGGTGCCTACAGGTCATATGCCGCCATAGGGTGGGGTCATAGGGGGACGGGGCAAATCCATTCTCACGCAACAATGCTGTCAAGTAATCGTACCAAATCTTTGCTGCCAGATCCAATCCATATAGAGATTCTTCCACAGCACAAACCAATGTCCGTGGAGCTCCTGCTTCAAATCCAGTGGGCTGTCTCATATAGATCATTCATCCCAGTCAGCCATGAAGATACACCATCACAATATCAACTTGACATAGTGTCCATTCTTTTTTCACTGAGATCGCGAACATCATACAATTCGTAGTGTCATTAACCACGGGGGTGTATGTCTCTTTGTGAGATCCCTTTTTCAATCAATTACCACACACTACCCAGTGAGATTTTCATAATATCCCGTCCGGATCAGTGTTGGGGTCATTCAGGCGATCTTTTTCAATGAAGATCCAACAGCCTGGTGCCACTGGTTCATCTGTGGGGACATCTGATCTCAGGATTAGGGTCCAGGTTTTCTGTTGTTCAAGATCTGCGATCTCATGTTGCATTGATTTCTTCCAATATTCTTCTACACCTGGTCAATTCACGGCATCCTTGTATGTCTTTGGCAATGAATCTGTGATAGGAGAAGGGATGTACATAGTGAACAATTTCACAGGTCTTATCCATTCAGTGTCTTCAATTTCGGGAACTTCACCATCCTCAACCAAGTAGGTTGTAGGATTGGACGCTAGTCCTTCAACATTTGTTTCATTCATACACTCTTTTGAGGGGAAAATCACATCGCTGGTGATCAGGAGCTTGTCTGTCGCAGGATTCCACAAATGAAAAATCAATTTACCATGAAAACCAATAAGCTTATATGATTCCACCCTGGCAGACAGCTTATCCGCGGGTTTTTGTGATCTGTGGAGGTGAGCATAAATGTCTGATCTGAGCTCACGGAAGTGCAAAACCTCTGGTGGGATGTTTAGGAGTGCAGAGAACAGGATCATATGAGGACAGTGTATGAGCTGCAATTCATCCATAGTATCTGTAGGCCAAAATTTTGAATTATACAAGACAGTGGAAGTAGGTGTGTTGTTTGTGATTGACACTACCATTTCCAAAATATCCACTCAGAACTTCTTAGGGATATTCTTTCCTATAAGGACTGCCCTGGCACGCGCCATGATCATATGAATGCCGCGCTCTGATACGCTGTCTTGGTGGGGGGAATGAAGGGTCGTAGACTCCCAAATCATCCCCTGACTGGTCATAATCATAGACATCTTATTGGAATGGAATACGCTGTCAATATCCATTCTCACATACACAGGCAGGGTGAAACTGAGGTTTTTCATGAATTGGACCCAGTGGCTGTAAAAATCGACAGCTTGGTCCTTCACATGCAAAAAGTAGATCCACCTATAACAGGTGGCATCATCAGTGATTAGCATGTAATATTTCATCCCCTGGTGGGATTCAACAGGGTGATCATTCATCTCATTGAGCATCTTGCCTCCGCCTGCAATATCAATATGCATGCATTTCATCACTCATAGTGCCTGTGGCATCAGGGTCTGCGAGTATTTTCATGTCATTCTGGCTTTGACGCAGGCGTCACAGAATAGTCCTGATTTGAGGCCTTTGATTCATACGCCTGATAGTGGATTCTTTGTCAAAGTGATTATCGCCCCAACATGAATATGACCCAGGTCAACATGCCATTCCATGAGGGTTTTCAATATCTTATTCAGTTTATCACCAGATTCATTGACCATCACCATCACGTCTCTGTATATGTAGGATTGGGCGGTGAAGTTGACCGCTTTGGACGCATGGTGAATGTCAACTTCTGATTCTCATTCAATGATCTTGTATATGGAGCTTTGGGGCGTTCGGATCGCGGTAAATATGACACCATTTGGCGCTCGAATAATGAAATAAGACAGGGTAGATGGGGATAATTCAAATTGGAAACCCTGGTCTTCTAGCTTCGCGAATGACAACAGGTTGACAGTTAGATTTGGGATCCAATGGACATCTCTTACCATGATATCCCCCCCATCTGATTCTAGGAGGATATCCCCAACTTCCTTAACCTGTCCCTGTCCTCCGTCAGCCATATTAACTTTGAGATTACCTTCAAAAGACACTGTACGTATCATCGAATGCTTCTCACCACTCATATTGAAGCTGGCACAGGTATCCAAATACCATGGTTTGGATGATATCTCAGATGACACAGATAGTGTGATCATGGCATTGGCACTAGGTTGAGAGGCAAGGAGATCTGGCATCTTCTTGTTGTTTTTGTCATCCTTATATCTATCTTTCCTCTTATTATTCTTCAGTTTCTGTCCACCACTATTCTCATCAGTATTCTTGATGATCTTATCCTTATTCACTTCCCTCCATCAATTGGTCACTAACTCCAGGTGCTGGCGCCAGCAGGTCTTATTTGTATGTCCTACACAGTCACAAACATTGCATTTTGAGGCAGTAGTCAATGTATTGAACTGCTTGTTATTGCCATTCATGGTGGCAGCATTTGCTTTAGAGGTCTTCAGATGATCAGACTCTTTTGTCTTGCTTGTACAATTGGTTAACTGCTTCATCAAATCATCAATATCCATGTTCACAATTGGATCTTGACCAGTTGTGTAGAAGTCATCAAGACAGGTCTTTACAAATGCCTTCTGATGATCACATAGGCCAATAAGGAAAAGATTGTGATAAAAATCATCATCTTGTGTGGCTAACTCCTTATGCTGTGCAATCAGGTAGTGAAATCTTCTTTGATAGGCAAGATAGTCATTATCCTTGACAGCAAGGTTTGAGAGCTCCTTCATGACATTCATATGTTCCTCTGCCAATGAGACAGTGTATTCCTGACTGATCTTCTGCCATAGGGCAGCCGCGTTATCTGGTTCTAATACTCCAATTGTTGTATGTACAGGTCCCAGTAGAGACTGCAACATTCAACAGTATAAGGCCTTTGTACATACTGTCCAACACTCTTTATCTAACTGGTTGATGCCATATTCTTCAGGTGGTTCATGTTGGTTTTTCATAAGGATATCAGTGACGCCAATAACCTCCACGTCTGCCAGGATGCCAATCCTCCATGCTTGATAGTTGGTTCCATCAAATGTCATCACAGTCTTCATATCCATCAAAGCTTGCACCTCCTTATGATATTCACGTATCTCCTGTTTTAGGGTATACGCAGGGGTAGTATCACTCATATGGGCGTTCTCCTGCGCGGTCATCATCTGTTGACAAAACATGAGAAGACCAGCCGCGGTCATCATGATCATGCCATTGGCATTGAGGGTAGGAATTGAGATAGGGCCAGGATTTGGGCTAGGGGTCTCATCATCCTCTGATTCATCGCGTACAGGCCCTTTCCCTGTATCATGGGTTGAGATGACTTCTTCCATTGCTTCTTCCACTAATGCATATTCAGTTTCTCCTTCATCTCCTGAGATGGGCACTGTATCCACTACACCTTCTTTGTAGAGTGTAGGGAATGTCTCTTGGGCCTTTGAATGAGAATGTAGAGATCTCTTTCATTCTGATTGAGGAGTAGGGGGTAATCTACTCATCTAGACACAAGACTTGAGTATCCTCAGATCAAAAATTTAAGAAAAGAAAGAAAATCAGGAAAAAGAGAAAAATGATGTTTTGTTTTGATTCCTTCACGGACGTGATCGCTTTCTCACAACAGAGAGTATCCCCTTGGGATCTTCTGATTTTTAGTGTAAAAAGAGCGTTTTTTTAAAGGAAATCTAGTCGAACTCATCCAATATCGCGTTGGTTGCAGCGTATTCTAATTAAAACGTCTTCTTTTGCTTAAAAAACTGCTATCCGGGCCATAACCTGTGGGATGGTTGAATCTCTCATATTGGGAGGCCTAGCTAGCTATCTAATATACGCTATATCACGTGCGGCGGGGCGGCCGCCCGGGCAACACACGCCCAACAGAATTAGCTTAGCTTCTCCCTATTTACCACAAAATCTAATCTATTTTGTCACGTGCGGCGGCAGTTTCAAATATTAAGCGCAAGGGCGGATCCGTAATCGAGGGCCGCGCTTGGAAATCAGTCACATGTTTCTTACAAATAGAACCGAATATCCAATATCCAACCTCTGACCAAAGTTCATGAACCTCTGGAAAATAAGAAATAATCTTGAAGGATCCAATAGTTCGTTCTAGACACGCAGGAACTGCACAAACTCGGTTGGTTTTACCAAACCTAGTACAGAGATACGGATCAATTCCCTGGCATTGAAAAAAATATGCCAAGACTCAACTTCGGTGCACCAGAACCAACCCCGAAAATAGCCCAGAGTAATATGCCAAATAAAATAGGTACGATGGCAAAAATTATATCAGTATGAATGAATCAAAAGGAAGGAAATAAAATAAAAAACGCATTTAAACACCGGACATCTCCACCTCTAAAGCTCCAGCAGTAACAATAACGTCATCAATGTCCTCTTTCCGGCACAGGAAATCTGCTTCATCGAAATCGCCCCGCTGTGTCATTGGAATAACGATGGTATTATGATTCTCCGGCCCACAGTCTGGTGCTTTGTGTTGTTGTCGTTGCTGCTGTGGCTGATGATGGTGTTTGTGATATCTGCCAACATTCTGTCGTAGGGTTGGATGCAGCTTTGGGCGTGTCGACGGTAACGACGAGGACGAAGGGGAAGACGGAGGATGCGAGGAGAAAGGAATTTTGGATTTCCACATGTGGCTAAACCCGTGTGGGAAGAGGGGGGAATAATCATCTCGCTTATCTTCGTCATCTGAATCTGCCAACTCGGGTGAGAAGGGACGCTTGTTTGGGTTTAAAGCTGGAACTGTAGTGTGGCCAAAGCATGAATACGCTGAGCGCAGGCCAATGGACGGCTGCTCGTCTAGCAATGAGGGGTTGTGAATTGCCTGGTCTGATTCTGCAGTCCGTGAGAACCTCTGGACAGCATAGTTGCCGGTTTTCAGCACACCGCAGGACGGTGCCAGTTCTGCATATGAGGTAGTTCGGGTATGATGGGATGTTGTTGGAGCATTTGAACCAGAGGGGTTTGCCGCTGTGTACGAATGTGATATGAATATTCCCGTGCTAGTTTTTGGCAGTGTCGTTGTGGTTGTTGTCTTGTACCCCTCTGGCACTGATTTGCGAATGCGCATGCCGACGGTGAGGAGGGAGGACTGGACTTTGTGGGGAAGGGAAGGGGAGGGGGAGTGGGTTGGTGCGGAGTAATTGAAATGAGAGCAACCGTCGGGGGCGGAGGTGGCGTTATTAGCGAAGTAATTGGTAATGGAAACCTGAAAGCGTCGTCGCTTGGAGGTGGATGTGGAGGCAGAGGTGGAGGGAATGGGAGTAGATTGATCATCCATGATGGTTGGCAATAGGTACCTAGATGTGTGCTAGGATGACGCTTCGTGGCGATGTAGCTATGATATATCGGTTGGCGGTTTTGTCCTTTGCGCTGGAATATGCTTAGTCACTTAGATCTGTTAAGATATGTGGGTCCGTGGTATCTGGGGTGTTGTCGTTCGCAGGTTGAAAGGGCAAGAGGATTTCCAACGGCTGGAAGGTGAGGATTCGAGGCGGGCCGGCAAATTGAGCCGGATAATTGAAGCGCGACACGGCTTCCTCGAGAACGCGTGAGGGAACGAATGAAGACTAGCGCGAAATCCCAGAAATATGGAAATTATCCGTTTTGGGATTAAGATGATCACGTAATTATCCGTTGGCCCAGGCCGGGCCGACGCACGTGACAGGCGTGTATAGATTAGCTTAGCTTCCTGCTTTCAATACGAGAGATCAATGAGATGAAAGGGGATTTCTGTAAAGCTTCCAGGCCTGCATTGTGGGATACTAGGTGGGGGCAGGTGGTTTTGGCCGCTGTCCGAGAGGAGAAATGGGTTGCAGTGGAGGGGACAGAACTGGCGGTTGAAATGATGGCTAACCATATAGTTACTTATATTCTTTTAGTCGTTGGTCCTGGACAGGTGTATCCAAAATACTACTACTACCTAGGTATACCGTATCATGGGGAATTGCCTTACATGGTTTAGCGCCATCCTGATTGGGCTTAGCGCAACATAGCCGCTTTCTGGACTATATAAACCCCCTCCTCCCGCCGCTTGAACATCTTCTCTCCATCATCCCTATTTTCCCTTTCTTTCCCTTGTAATTCTCTTGTCTCGTGTGTGCCGTGCCCATCCCTTCCCATTGGCCCCCACCGCTAGTGTCACCTGGCCCGGCTGTGCCGCAGCTGAAACTGTTCTCGACATGGTGACTATGTCCACTTCCCGTCTTCCCCGATGCAATTTCGCCTCGCTCTACTGTCAAGTTACCCTAAAATCATGCACAGACTGAGGCCCGCTACTGGGATATCTGGTCTGCTCAAGACTGTGGCTGGCTGAGGTTTCCTGTTCACTCTGTTGATCTCATTTTCTTGTCGCACACACGGCTAGCTATTGCTTTACATCCTATATTTGATGTTTTGGGTTCTGCACACCTATCCTATCAACGCTGCCAATCCCATCATATCTGTGCCTTGGTCTTGTTGTCCTTAATCTCTCCCTTTCGCAATCGGTCGGCAAACCCGATGTTTCTCACCTGTGGTGCCCGACGGTGATAGGTGGCCTCCACTCGTTGAGATGGTACGCGATGAAAAAAATGCCTCTGCATGGCAGAAACGGTATCAGCCTTGCTGCGCCGCGGACCATTGTGCGTCAGGCCCTGACCGGAGTGCGAGGCCTGGGAGGTCTGGTTGGTTGCAGAGGTGACATGCCCAGACACAAGAAAAATCTCCCCGCGATCAAAGCGCCGCGGCGTGACCGATGCATGACGTGGACATGATCCAAACTGCTCCAGTGCAGTTGAATTCTCGGTCACGCTATGTCCCCTCCTGACCAGTAGCGAGATACCGAGTCAACAAAGATGGATGTCCACTGGAAAAGGGATTCAGCCTCAGCCTCCTGGGTGCTAAAATTGACCAGGAGAGAAAGGGACGATGCAACAATGTGATGCGACGTCTGAGTTTCCCCATCTTCATGATCCACACTTTGATGAATTAACGGACTGATTCGCTATTGGAAATTCGGGTTCATACCACAAGACCATGCATTGGAGTGGCTATGGTCGCATGACAATCATCTGGCACCCCTTCAGTCAGTGCTATTTAGGAAATAAAAAGCGAGAGGGGTTACTATCTTCCCTTACTTTCTGCGTGGACAGCGGCTGGTGTGGCAAGGTGGTAGGTGACACCCATTTTCCTGCTTTGTTTTACCAGGATTTGGCCGACCTTACCTCCATGGCGCCAACGTTCCTGCACCATGGTGATTCTTCCTGCGGGGAAAATGTGATGGAAGCGAGCAGGTAGAATGACACCAGCAGGATTTCTCTCATTCGCCCGTGTTGAGGTCGTCGTAAGCATAAAAGGTGCCACCTGCCTGACCAAAATTGTCGCTTCAAAAAAAAATATCAGAGCACTACGAGCACAGCAAGCGCACCTCAGATCCCATCATTGCAAGCAGCAATTCCAACTCTCCATTGACAATGACACCCTCTCTGCCGGAACATGCTGCGGCACGCGAGATTCCAGGTAGGTACAACAGCCCTGAGTTGTCGGTCCAAAATCTGATCAGCGTTCAAACAAGAATCCTTGGCAGCGAGCTTCTTTGATCCCCAGAGGTCGCCTAGATCAAGTCCCCCGACTGTTGACCAACTTCTGTCACGATTTGTCCGCCCGTGCCTTCCTCGCTCGGCTGACGGTGAACCTGGATCGTCACCGGACAACCCGATTGATCTGGATGATAGAACGGATGAAAAACACGACACGGAACCTCTCAGTGAAGATTGAGAAACATCACCCCTTGGAGGCGACACCGAGCGTGAGTGTGATAGTGAAACTGGTGATGGAAGGAACAGCGAGGCAACGTCAATTCGGGACTTAGAAGGGGAGTCGCAGATGCAGCCACAGCCGGGGTCATGCCCAACAGCACCCGCGCAGCCAGTACCAGAGCCAGAGCCAGAGCCAAAGGCGGTCAATGCAAGCGAACCCGCCCAGCCAGAACCAGAGCCAAAGGCGGTCACTGCAAGCGAACGTGAGTTTCCCTGATACTATATGGGCTGCAAAGGGCATATATTAATGAATACAGGAGGTCTTGACTGCGCTGGCAGTGACAAGGAGAATGTTGAACCATCTAGACCGCGACGGTCCATCTCCGCCGCACTGCCGGATAACATCTCCGAGGACGGACCCTCGAAGGAAACCCATGCCACAGTCGGCGACTCTTTCACACACCACCTTGAGCCAGACACAAGCTCACCCCATATCCTGCTACATCGTGAGGCCAGGGAAGGACATCTTGAATTTCTCCTGTGGGCGCCCATATGGCGGTCGGAGGATGACATTGCGAAGGTACATCCAGATCAGCTCAAGCGATACAAGGAGAGGTTGGACGTCGGGCCCGCAAGAAGGGCGTCTCAGGCAAGAAAGCGAGCACGGTCCCCTTTTCCAGAGCCTAGGAGATCATCACGTCAGAAAAAGTCGCGGCAGTGCTAAATATAGGTTCGGTAGATAGAAGTTAGCGAATAACACTTGTTTCATTGCTGTCTTGTATGCTTGTCTTGCCAGTATATCTGGATTGCAAAGTCAAGTGATTAGAACCTGTTTGGAATACTTCAAGTATAAAAACTCTAGCGGAGGAGTGGTGACCCGATTCGGTCACTGGTCAGATGATAAACCTCTTTCTGGCTTGTCCCACACCAGTACATTTGCAACAGAAGCAGCCCAAATACAACAATCCTCCAGAGACAAGATCACATACATCGAATTTCATATCATCGGAGCCCTGTCCCGGCCAAATATCCCCATGGCCTGGATCACACTCTTTCACACCAAAGGTGAAGTAAGGACCATCCAATTACGGGAACCTGCTTCAGTCAGTGCAAAATTGCGGGCTGAACCAATGTGAAACTCCCCTCAACAACCTGTAAACATCAAGCTGATGTTCGCAGTCCGTTTGACCACCTATGTTCAAAGTCGAATGCGTCGTGTGTAACTAGTGTAAGAGGTAATCGCGACTTTGCCATGGCACTCTCACGCTACGTCACGCCCTGAGTCTTACTCGAAGCGTAGAAAACGTGGATGCTAGTAAGCGAGAATATCAACAGCGTCTATAGCTACAGGTATTAGCGGAGGTCTTGAAAGGAGATATGGATGGCCAGGGGGGCAGCACTGTAGGTGGCGTTAGGTGAAATCGGAGTAGACAGCTGCACTTACGCACGTCCAGGAATCGTCCAAAGCAATGGTAGAGGCTAATGTACCGTCATTGAACTGTGTATATTCATCTACTCCCTTGGCTCTCCCAACCCTCTTCCTTGCCACAAAGAAGAGATGCGTCTCACGTGAAATCTTGCTCGAGAGCCAGAGAAATTCCGATGCATAATCCGCTGCACTTCCGGTTTGTTCAAGGCGCTGAAATTCGAATGACGGCCTAATGGGCTATCTGACATGATTGAATTATATCTCTAAATCACTGGTGTCTTAAATAACACTGTCTTAGCGTCATGATTGCACAGGCGAATGAAAATTATGTTTATGACAGAAAGAGCAGGTCCACCAATCATGACCAACGTGAATAGACAGCATTTGGTTTCAACTTCGCACCCCATTTTAAACCATAGCTCATGTGATAATGCCCTGCCTCTGCAAAGCTCGAACAAGGAATCCAAAAAGGATCATTCGAAAAGTGTGACCTTGTTGGCTGCTGTTGCCTTCTTCAAACCAGATGCCTTTTGCGAGTACAGGATTCTGGAGATGCTCAGCCATACCATAGAAGTTGAATATAAACATTTTGTCCCAATCGAAGATGGCGACGTCCGGGGCTCCAGTGTTCTGAGCATATTTCCTAGCTTGCTTTGACAGCCATACAGCATTGTTCGTGAAATGCGTGTAGTGCGGGTGTGTGCCGTAGGCTGAGTCCACCATTGCTTTCGCATTGTTTTGGTCCGACACCGCGTCTTTGAAATCGCTCCAACGTAGCACTCGACTGTTTTTGAATTCTAACACGGCAATGTTGGTCCATCCACTGCCATTCCAGTATATCCATCTGAGGTCCGTTCGACATCCACCGCCTTCACGCGCCTCGCCTCTGCAGAAAAGGCGACCAGAAGAAGGTACCAATCGGCTAGTTGCGACATTAATAGGATGGAGGAGGTACTGGATAGAAGCACGAATGACATCTGACTCTGTATGAAGTAAATGGCTCTTTTCCACCTGAGGCATTCGCTCCTGAAGAGAAGATACATTGGCGGGAAGCCGATTTCCCGCAACCTGGAGAAGGATGCTTGCGTTCTCTAGCATGAAAGCTTTGGGAGCATCCATGCCAACTGTTGATTGAGCAGACGCCTGGATCGTGCGCTAAGTGGCATTGTTTGGGAGAGGTGAAATAGAAAGACTTGGAAGAGGTTCCCAGAAGGATTCAAGCACAGTTTGTTGCGGCATCCTGTGTCCTTATGGGTAACCTCCAGAGTGCAAAATGACAGTAAGACTAAAGAGAAGCATCGCATAATGAGGAGCTGGGAAGGAAATATGTGATTAAAGTATCTCTATATACCTCCAAGCACCCGCCTGCCTAAAGTTAAGCCCCCAACCCCTCATGCTGGGTGCTAGCTCTTGCCGCGCCAACAACCTTCCCCGCCAGCTCTGTCTAGTACCCCAATCCGGTTAGTCCATGACTAGCGGGGCTGAAATACATTTTAAGTGCGAGCGAGCTGTTCATTTCATTTTGATGTCCACAACAGACCTTTCTAATTTTCCAAATTTCCAATCTTGCAGCCATGACTTATCAACTGAGTGCTTCCTACTGTGCTAGATACAACAAGTCCAAGCCACCATTACCTTACTTTCCTGGGCAAGAGTTTTGCATCCACCCTCATACTCCACCTGCTCCCGCAACAGGTGAGGTCGTCCTATCTTATGAGGGGCATCGGGAAAGGGAAAGTATGCATCCTGTGGATCGTTGTATATTTCATCCTCCATTGCCTGGATTGACTGGAAAGGGCACTATTCGACTAAAGGTTGTTGGACCTGTCAGAATAGGAGACCAACACAGTGCTCAACTTGTTACCGTCCACATGGTCGATAAGACTCCAGATATATCAGACTCGATACCAACTGATAAGTATCTAGTCGCTAAGCTCTACGATCCCCTTTACTTTGACCATGAGCAAGATGATGTGGATCCTTTTCGCTATACGGACCTAGCATACTCTCATGAAACCGCAGCCTACCGACTGCTTTATCCACTTGAAGGAACTGTCATTCCAAAATATTATGGGTCCTTTACACTTGAACTGCCAATTCCGAATAAAAAGAACTTCGCGATCTATCCGGTTAATCCTTATCGAAAAAGTACCCGGTATCTCAATGCAACGTCTCAATCCAACCAACCATGCGCGGTCAGAGCGTCAAAATATTTTGAAGGCAATTGTCGATGCAGAATCTATGCTGTATGCTCATTATATATTACATAGAGATATACACCCGAGGAATGTTCTTGTGCTGGATAGCGCTCATCGGCGTGTGGTACTCATTGACTTTGGATATTGCGGGATTGGTCGAACTCCTTCAAACAGCCCTGCCGAGTGGAAAGCCAAATACCTTCCTGGTGTTCCCATATCCCCATTGCTGCGCTGGGATCAGGGTTGGGGCCGTCATGCGAATTTTCATGAATGGATTGACTGGGACTGGCAAACTTGGCTTGAGCACTGTTATGAATTCACGAGAGCATCCATAACGGAACACATGCGGTCGATTTGGCTTCCAAAAATACCGCCTATATCATCGCCTCCACGTCCGTCCGCATCTTCAGTGTGTTTCCCCGCACCTTTGCCGTTCTCCGGCTCCTAGAATTCCGACGTGCCCTTTTTTATCGACTAAACCAAGAAGAACAAATAAGCAGATGGCGGTGGCTTGAATATCGATGCATGCGTTTTGCCCAACTCCCTATGGTTTATGTGATATCATTTTTTTAACAGGATATGTGAAGAGGGAGGCCCAGTGGTGCCACCTTCATTTTTGGACAACTGTAGAGGATCACGGCACCTCATTATAAATCAAACCCACGTTCCAAGTGCGTGACATCCCCCATCTTGACAGCCACTCTCCCTGCCCACCTACCCATGAAACGGACGGAATTCGAGCTGCCACCGGCACAGATCCATCTCCTGGTGAAGCTTCTGATTTGGCCCACCTCGGATGCTCTGGAAGACGAGTGGCGGCGACGCAATGAGGGGGTGGAGGCGGTGAGACGACTTCCTCGAAGGTGGGTCCCCTGCGAGGACGACCGAAGCGAACGATGCTGCCTGAGGACGCTTCCCACGAGGATTCTTCCCCCCCAAGAAGAAGATCAAGCAGGAGGATCGCGCCTGTCTCTCTCCGGAGGAGAAGAAGTGCCGGCCGGTAGAGGAGCACATTGGCTCCGCACCGGGTCCTCTGACATGCTTTCAGGAGCAAAAAGCGGTCGTGCTCGATTCTTGTGCGCGGTGCTTGATACTGACTCGACCTTGTTCGCTGCGAACCAATCATTTCATGCAACATGCGTTGTAGCCTGCCACCTTGACAATATACCTGCGATACGCCGAGCGACCTCAAGTTCGCTATCCATCCCTGTATCCTTTCATGAGTCACCCATTTACAAGTTTGAGCTCGGAGGAGGGTGTTGTTGGTTTCTTGGCATTTTTAGTGCAGTGTGCTCAAAAATGACCCAAGCAATTATGTATTTAGTCCCAAGTGATAAAGCAGGGGTTATACGTGGCGCTGGATAATTGGACAAGGCTGACTATGCGGAATAATTAACCGCGGAGGAGCGCCATCCCAACCAAAGCAAATCTCAGTGACCCGGAAAGTATCTGAGTGAAGTGGATCTAACTTACCTAACCAGTCAGTCTAGTGCCAAGGGTACAGCACCATGTCTGCTAAGAATATGAGAGTCTCTTCCGCCTTCTTCGGTTGTATCCGCGAAGCTCCATTGCGCGTCTTGGTACTCTGTTTCGTCAGATAATGTCGATACATCAGAGCCGTCCAAGGTAAGGGCTGCCTCGGAAGCTATCTGGCACTGAGAGGTAGAATGGAGAAGTTGAGATTGAGCCTCTAAGTGCCTTTCATTTGTTGTCCTTATAAATTCGTCCCTCTTTTCCTTTGCCCAGTCTCGAGCATTTCGATAAGCACATGCTCCTTGCCGAAACGTTTCCAGGTTCCCAGTCATGCCCCTGCAAGATCGTGTCTGGGTCCCATGATGGCACGGTCCGAGTGTGGGAGACAGCCACCGGCAAACTGCAGCAGACGCTCGAGGGCCACTCCGGCTGGGTTGAGAGTGTGGCCTTCTCGCCCGATGGCTACAAGATCGTGTCCGGGTCCTATGATCACACGGTCCGAGTGTGGGAGACGGCCACCGGCGAGCTGCAGCATACGCTTGAGGGCCACCCCAATATTGTCCAGAGTGTGGCCTCTAACACACTCACCTACTCAGTGGATAAGTCAAATCAATGGATAACTAAAAACAACTTGCGAAGTTTATACATCCCCTTTGACTTGAGGCCTGGTGTGGTTGCTATACATGGGACTTCACTTGCTATTGGCGCTAATTGTGGTCAATTAACTATACTTCTGTTTCAGTCTCTTCTCGATGAAATGATTCTTTAATATTTTCAAATATCTCTGTGAAAGAAGGGTCTAGGAAGAAAGCGCGAGAAGGCATGCACTGAGGTTAGGCGCGTGCTAGGCGATTTTTACAAGGCTTGTGCCTATATTGATCACAAATAATTGATTGATTGACTGATTGCAATATAGGTGTTCCGCTCTTGCTTCCCAAGAATTGGCCCAGCTACACCCCTGTATTTGGCAGGCAAGCTTTGCATTTCGAGGCCACATCTACCAGTAGTGCATGCAGCAAGAGACCCTCCGCACTATCTACAAATTCCACCGTACCGATGAGGTCCCACTAAACACTCGTGAGGAAGGCCAGAGGCCTTCGTCCTCGAGTACGACATGCTTACAGCCATCCGCTGGGGAATCCATTGTGCGATGAGCGTTAGCCAGGGCTAGGTATATCATTCTGATAATCCTACGTTTAGGTAATCATAGTCAGATGTGCGAAAACGTTGCCTACGTTGGAGTGGCATTTGAGATGTATGTTCGTACTGGGATGGGATGAGCTAAAAAGAGGTGCGAGCTAAAAAGGGGTCGGAGCCAAAACGGGGAGCGAGCCAAAATAGTGTTTTGAGTCAAAATGGTGGTGCCGGTCAAAAAACAGTGCGTCAAAAAAACATATGGGGACATGACTAAGTGTCCCAACAGCGTGCGAAACTTCCTCTGTGCAAGTTCTTTTAAACCGGGTATGCCGTACTTCTCGCTAATAACATACACTTGGGCGTTTAACAAAGATGGAGATGCCTTCTCGGCAGTCATGTTCCTATCTTGGAGTGTCTGGATTGAATAAAGTGAAAAGTGCATACAGTAATAGATTATATTGGATTAGACTTTCTCTTAAGAATGTCTATAAATTAACAATCATTTGAGTCCTCGAGCCGTTATTACCCAAAAGAAGAATTCAACAAAACTAATCATTTAAAAAAAATATTGGAAGGACGGACATTGTCAGCACACAGAATCACCGGGAGACTAGCTCCGCATACTCACAGCTTCGTACCTTTTCAGTGCCCGAGCCACGAATGCGAAAAGGAGACGGCGGAATGTCATGCCCTTGGTAGGGCCAGATTCATCAAAGTAAGTGCCTCTCACCGCCCCGCCTCTGGTGGATTGTTCGTGAAGGTAATTGAAGATAAACATAGCGGTCCAGTCAAACACCGCAACACTGGCGCAGTGTTCCGAGTATTTCCCGGCTTGTTTTGAGAGCCAAACCGCATTCTCCTCAAGCAGCGTAAAATATGGGCCTCTATTGGCGGCCCTGCTCCTTTGTGCCTCCAGGTTCTGCTCGGTGGCTTCGGCAGGCGCAAAGTCTTCTCGACGTATAGTGTGGGTATTTTTGACCTCGAGGACAGCAAGAATCTCCAACAGCTCTCCTTGATCAGAATAAAGGGACCACTGTACATCGAAGCGGCTTTTAGGTCCACCGTATGACTCGGTTCCGCAGACAAACTTGGTGCTAGCGGGACGTATCTCCTGAAGAGCTACGTTCACAGGGTGGATGAATTGCAGTATAGAAATCCGTAAAAACATCAGCCTCAGTGTCCAGTCGATGCGTTTTTTCCAGCACGGGCAGGCTAGCTTGGAGCGGACTGAAGGGCACCGTAGGGGGAAAATATCTTTCTGCGATCGTCTGAAAAACCGAAATATCTTCTTTGATGAAGACAGGTGTCGCATCGATCTCGACCGTGGACTGGACACTGGATTTGAATTCTCGATAAGAGCCTCTGAACGTAAACTCGATATCCGATCCATTTGGCAATTTGCGATCGAAAGACTGGAAAATCGTTAAAGCCATGGCTCTTGTGGAATTGAACAATAACAAGGGGCAGTTTTGGGGCAGCTGGAAGAGTGATATGCATGTGTAGCTTTGCGTTTCTCGTTTTCTTGACTTATCTTAATAGACATCCGACTTTATATGTCGCTTTGCCTTAATTGAAATATCTAAATATAGAAAATGCATTGGAGGAGAATGGGTAGCGGCGCTTACAGACACAGTTGGATTGGTGTATCCTTCGATCAGCAAGGCTGAAATGGTGATCACAACTAATGGCGCTTAGTGGCCCAAAAATTGATTTTTGGGGATCTTTATTTCGCCAGCCCCGTTGCACAGGGCGCGTCCGGAAAATCAGAAAGTCCGACAGCTTTGCTTTCCACCATCCGCCCACTACTTATCCACAAGGGTCCCTCCTCTGCCCCTATCCGCCTCGAGAGAAAGAAAAGCTAGTACCTATTGAAGATCACCGTTTCTATCAAAGCACACAAACACCTCATGGATCCTCCGTCCACCGACCTTCCGAAACCCCCAGTCCCTTATGTCGAGGGCTGGGTATTCAGCATCCAATCACACATTCCTCCACCTCCGACACCCGTGACCAAAGATTGTTGCCGTAACTTTCAAGCTGGTAGGGCGGAAAGCAGACAGCTTCGCCCAGTCGAACGGTGCCTGCGACATCCTCCATTACCAGGAAACATGGAACCGCGCACCGTCAACTTGAAGGTTCTTGATTTACTGAGAGTGGGAGACGGCTGCAATGCTCAAGTCTTCACTGTGCAGGTTCTCGAAGTTAGACCTGATCCTCGATGCTTCCAATCAAATAAAAAATTGGTTGCCAAAATATACGACCCTCTTTATTTCAGCGATGAGGAGGGATTTATTAATCCTTTTCTTTGCGTGGACAAGCATTATACCCACGAGGCTCATGCTTACGATGTCCTATCCAAGTCGCACGGGGGGCGAGTACCTAGGTTCTACGGGTCTTATTCATTGAATATTCCTGTTGACAGGTCTGAAATGCGCACCGTTCGACTTATCCTGATGGAGTATATACCAGGGATATCAATGCAACAAGCCAATCCAGAAAATTTTTCTCGCCTTGCTCGCCAAGAGATCATGAAATCAGTGATTGACTTCGAAAGTCGACTGTACGAGCAAGATATCTTACTCACGGATCTAAGCCCTAGAAATGTCATCATGGTGGAGAAGCCCGGCTTTGATCCGAGACGAGATCTTCTTTTCCTTGACTTTGCTGGCGCTCTTTTCGGTCGCAGAAGAGACGATCCACTTGCTATCGAATCAAACCTGTTCCTCGGTCGCTATATTTCACCTCTTCTACGGTGGGATAAGACTATGGCAATGCAATTTAATGACTGGATTGATTGGGATTGGCAGCCCTGGATCGAAGCCGAGTATGCTCACACTGCCGCAACGATCACACCGGAAATGCGGGACACATACTGCCGATGACAATTGCTGCTGTTTGCTCACTCTGCATTTTCTTTATCCTGCGTGCTAGCCACATCCTAACGCACTTCAGCAAGTCTCACGTGGGAGGCCATATCTTTTCCTTTCAACGGGGGGTTTGAGGTGTTTTTCGTACAAATCCATCACTTTGTTTTGTCTCATCAAATATTCGTCGTTGTATAATGAAATTAGAATTGCGCCAACGCGTTTTGGAATAAAAATAACACAGCTTCCCAGAGGATGGGTATGGGGGAGTGGGAAAATAATTTCCTTGCGCACTCTAGAAATCTAGCTAGAAATCCATTTGGGAATCTGAATGTAAGCTTCTGTTCAATATCCAAATTATATTCTCTGTGTAGGCAGGCTATTCTTAACCCGAGTGTTAAACAGTGAGCCGAGCCGGCAACCAGATATGAATGACGGGAGGATGCCTGCCGCGATGTAAGACGCTGCTTTTCATCGGCATATGAGGAGCTATCTGGATGGGTGCTGCAAGAGCAAAAGACAGGTTTGCAGCCAAAAATAAAGCTACTAGCTCTAATTGGGTGCGGCATCATCTCGCAGTGACCTCTTCTTCGAGATTCTAGGGGCTTCGGTCGCCAGCATCCTCTCCAAGCTGGGATCTTCCCTAAGCCAGATGTCGCGGCGGATGAAATCACGAGCCTCGATCTTCTACTCAGAAGTGGATCACTCGAAGGGCAAACAAAATCCTAGCAATTCCCATGATCAGTAATCATCTTGGCCACCTCCACATGCCCGTGCCACTTAGCCCGATCGATGGCTGTATCGCCCAATTCATCAACAAGGTCAGTCCTTGCACCTTTCTGGAGCAGAGCGCTAACTACATCTTTGTGTCCTTCCGCGGCGGCCCAGTTAAGGGCAGCACCACCGCCAACCATATGATCCAGTTCCACCCCCTTCTCAAGCAGAACATGGACAAATCGCACATGTCCAAACCTGGCAGCGGTTAGAAGAGCTGTGCCTCCCCAGTAGTTTTGAAAGTCCGGGTTTGCTCCTTTGCAGAGCAAGGTCCTGGCCACATTGTCATGTCCCTTCGAAGCAGCTTTAATGAGCGGTGTGTCACCATCGGCGTCTGTGAAATCGATGTCGGCTCCATTCTGAAGCAAAGCTTGCATTGCATCCCGATGACCATTTCCGCCAGCGAGTAGAGGTGCTGTACCAGGAGTCTCAAACGTAAAATCAGCTGATCTCTTTTGGAATAGAAGCTCGACCAGTTTTGCGTGTCCATTCTCGCAGGCTAACAGAAGAGCAGATCGGCTGCGCTTTCGACGGACCGCTTCCCTCTCACCCTGGAGTGAGTGTGTTAATGAAAGCCGTGCTGTGCTTTGCTGTCCATTCCTACAGGCCCACAGAAGCGCCAAGCCTTCGTTTTGACTGGAATTGAGCTTATAGAGGAGATCGACTGTCCAGTGGTAAAAAGTCCTTGATACCAGAGCAAAGGAGTAAATGTCCTTTTCAGAGTCTGAATGTTGCGCAATCAATCGGACGACCTCAGCACTTAGCTCTGCTAGGCCACCCATCTACAATCCGATCAGTGAACTTATCTGATGTAGTACCTAGGATATCCTTACCTGTAGAGGTCTGTCCGTCCGAAGCAAGAATCTGCAAAGGGAGAGAAGAGGAGCGATAAGGCAGTGGTGCGCTCGAAAGACTGTTCAAGAGACCAAAGCGAAGAGACGTCCGCTAAGGAGATCTGGGGTGGATGGAAAGGATGGATGGTGCTGGAGACAGCGTTCGCGAAGGATATCCAGGTGTGTGAGTCAAGAAATGAGGAAGAAGGGACAGTGTGAAGGAACGGTTTCCCAGGATGTGTGGTGAGAATGAAAAAGAATAGAAGGGAAAGGTTGTGTGGAAGTGCGTGCGCAAGCAGAAGATATATATACCCGTGGCAGGCTGACTGCACGGGACATCGCTTGCCACTGAACGGGAGGGTTCTGGGTGGCAGAAGCTAAGCTTTGGATTGGGGAAGACTAACGAGGATTGGCGGAAGCCTGCGGTCCGTCTATTAAAAGCAATTACAGTAATATTTCCTACTGTACAGTACAAGAAAGACATCAAACTTGCGTTCATGTCCAGCTCCTACATTAACCAAAGTTCCACTAACCCCTTAGATCCTGTTCTGTGCATGCCGTTATGGCCTAACCGTTCGGGGTCGAAGAATGTCTAGCGACTCATATCAACTATATACCTATAGATGGGTTTCTATGTTAATTTCTTAATGACGGTTTTTCTTCGCTACAAGAAACTCCAATCAAGCAGACGAGATAGAGACGCGATCGGTCACGCGTACACGTTGTGGACTATGAGCGCGTGCCCCTGAAAATCTTCAACGCCATCCAGCGCATCCGGGCACGACGGGTGAGGGCACCAGAGCAGAGCATCGGGGTCAAGGTAGCGGAGGTGGCAATTTTGGACATGTCTTCGAAGGTGGTCGGGTCGTGAAAATGAGTAAATCCACGCGGAGTGTGGCAGCTGGCTATCTCCGAGACAGAAGAGACACTGAGTACCCGGACATGAGATGGGAAAGGTGTCCGCGTCGATGATGCCGTCGAACGTAATATCGACTCCAGAGTCGGCAGATGAGACTCTCCGCTTGCGCGGCCCCTCGCGTAGGCTGCAGAGTGAAGCCCAATCCTGGCTTGTTTGCACTCGGCGGACGTAAAGCTCGTGCTGGTCTTCGGTTCGACAGTCTGACGAGCGGAAGAGATTCCGAGCGAGCTGCGCTCGCTCCTCGAATACAAATTGGACCTTGTCCTCATCGTCCATCTTGAGCTCCTCGCTAATAGACAATCCTAGAAGTTGCCTCTCGATCTCGACCGTGTCGATCGTTGCGAAGAACTCCTGCCTCATTTCCTCGAACGCCTCGCGGTGGAGGGTCTGTTTCTCGGCCCTGATGGTATCCCCAAGCTCTGTGTACTCGCGATGCAGCGCCGTGCCTTTGGATTTTGGGACTGAACCGTGCTTTCTCTCGATAAGTTTGCGCAAAGAACGCTGCCGGTCACACAGCTTGACGAGCTGAGGATCCCGCTCGATTGCCTCCTTCTGCTCATTGCTAAGTTCCTTCGGAGCACGAGGATCGCGTGTGAGGCTGAACCTTCCAACGGCCTGGATGATGGACTCTCGGGCAGGACAGCCAAGGTAGGCGGACTGCACATCCCGCTTGACTTTTACTGATATATAGTAGCGCTCGAAGATATCCGCTCTGGAATGGCCCATGACCTGGTTACGCTCACTGGTAGTTGCAACAGCTGGGCATGGAAACATCAGAACGCCGTTGGATGTAAGTGTGGAGATGCCGATAATAATACTCACTGTCAACCGCGTTGGCGGTTCCTCGCCTGATACAATACGGTGTCAACTTGTGCTCGAATCCTGCATTGCGTCCCAGGCGTTGGAGATACTGGTTGAATGTGTCATAGGGCAGAGCTTTATCTGGAGAGATCCGAATCCCCTCTGCGGTGTGTACGGCTCGACGGAACACGGGGATATTGAGCATGTGGGGTTTCCATTTTAGATGCAGGCTGTTACGGGGCGCCATAACCCGAATGCGGAGCACATCTTCAACCGAGTTGATGCCTCTTGCGTCGAATGCGTCATCAGCCAGCGCCAGGGCAAGGAAGTGGGAGACAGGACAAAGCGCGAGGTTGTCGTCCCGTTCGTGGAAAATATAGGTTGTCCTGTCCAAGTGAGTTTTTTGAAGATAAAATGCCAGACAGGTAGAGCTCACGGTTGTGACTTGTTCCGCTTCCCCTTCATGAACATAAGAGATACTTCCATCACAAGTACATGCCGGTCCGGCTGATCTGGATTGGGAATCACACGCAACACAATATCCTTATAGCAGAGGGCATCATTGGAACCGCGGAGACAACCACTCTCGATGAGTGCTCCGGGCCGCGTTGAGGTGTAGGTGATAAACAACATGAGCAGTGGATTCTGCACGGTATATCGTTCATGGGTAACGGATGCTGTATCCAAACATGGCCACAAGGTCTTCCACACTCACTACCGGTTTGTAATCAATCGACAGGTCCAAATCGTACTCATCGGTCAGAGGACCTAGGATGAACTAATACGGAGAATTAGAAAAGGGGAGACTGATGTTTTGGGCTGGGAATCTACCTCGCTGATTAATTTGCCCACCAATTCATCCACCTTTCGACCTGTCTCCCTCTTAAAGAGCAGTCGAAGGAATTTCCATTCGACCCAAATCGTACTCTGTTTGGTGATGTTGAAATTTTTCAATCTCCAATCAGCATAGACTCGGAAGTTCTTGTCCACACATGCGGAAAGGTGAGAGTGGGCGTCGACCCCCATAAATGAACAGTGTCTTCACAAGAGATGTCAGCAGATTCCACCATGGATCCGATATGCATGAGGCTCACCGATCCCAGAAGCGCTGAACACGATTGATGGCAATAACTGTGGCATCAGCATATTTCTTGCCTGTGACCTGGAATCGAGCCAATCTGACGGTATCTCTCGCGCGGTATTCATCTGGGGTGAGCTCCTCGACTATCTTCTTCCCGGCACGTCGGCTCTCCTTGGCAGGTTTGGAGGGCTTCCATAAGCAAGTCCATCGGGAAAACATGTCATTCGGATAATAGGAGGAAGCAGAGAGAGTAACCAGCACAAGGAGACTGAAAAAGAGCAGTGTAAATAACTGTGTGTGACGACAGTAGAGACAGTATTCACCGAGAGTGAACTAAGGAAATGCTTCGAAGGACCAGAAGACATTGAATTTATACATTGTGAGGAGCAGAGCATCACCATCCTACAACGATGCCGAGCATCAATAGCTTGTAGATACGACATCCCGACTATCGCTGTCTCTGAGGTATGCATGTGGAAAATGGTTGTTGACGGGAGACATGAGGCGTGTTATTGAAATAAAAGCGGCGTAGGTTTCGCGTCACGTGCCCAGGAATGGGCTTAAAACAGCGTCGAAAATGGGATGCTCTGAGTGGCCGCGCCCCCATCTTACAGACTATAGAGGGTATTTCTCAAAATCTTGAAGAAATGTCAATTCCTACCGCTCTGTATCATTCTCTCGCCTTCCCTTTTTCCATTTTCTACAAACATCTGCATCCTTCACCCAGCATTCCCCCTTCTCCCCCCTCTCTTCTGCCGGTCATGATGCGCCCTCAATACATTCCGCGTCTCCACCAGACTCCTCTTCCCTTTACTCTTCGCCTTCCCCAGCGTCATGATGAAATTCTTCCTCCTCGCCTTCTCCTTGTTCGTCGTACTTTTCCCCTGTGTCTCTTTCCTCTCCTTCTTCTTCGCAGCCTTGCTCTTATGCTCAGCCCTGTCCGTCTTGAGCTCGTTCATCCGTGCAATTTTCTCCGCCCGCGTCGCCCTGGCCTCAGAGAGCAGAGCAAGCCCTTCAATCTCAGCGGCTGTGAGAGGATCATCCGAATGCCTGGCTGGGTTTGAAGCAGCCTGCTTCTGTCGCTGAGTTTTATGTTGTGGGAGGAGGGATGTGACGCTCTCTTTGGCGCGGAGTTCAGCGAGTTTTGCAAGATCCGCTGGTGTTAGGATACGAGTTGTTGCCAGACTTGATCGTTTCTTTTCCTTTTCCTTTTCTTGATGTGCATCTTCTGTCGTTGCTCGTGATTCAGCATCAACTGCGATTTTGGGTTTCTTGGCTGTGGGCCCGTCGTCTTCAGAATCGCTAATCTCGATCTCTGCGTCGCTCTGAACGTCAATCCAACCACCAGAATCATCACTGTCCTCATCATCCTCCACATCCCAAGCGCCCCAATCGTCTTCTTCGTCATCTTCCTCGTTTCCACTTTCCCCATCAGACGGCAGTCCCTTCTCCCGTCGCCTCTTCTGCCGTTCCTCTTCTTTCCACTGCTCCAGCAACTCAATACCTTCGATCTCCCCAGTCTCTTCTGCCCCAAAGCGGATATTCTTTCGCTCTCCAGCCTTCAGTTCGATAGTTGCAATTTTTCCACGATCCCTCTTTTTCAATAGCTCAGCACCAACTTCTCGATAGAGACTTAATAGCCCTTTAGCGGCCATCATGACTCCTTTATCTTTACTTTTTCGGTACATGACCAAGTCTTGCAGCAAAGTGTCGCTCATGGCAAGTGGCTGCCGCACACAAATCTCTCTAATTGCATTCAACCCAGCCGACGCAATTTCTGCGGCTGCAGCTTCAGAGACGAACTCATTCGCAATTTTCTGAACAAGTGGCTCAAGGGCATCAGGAGGTACGAGAGAATGCGATGATTGAGCTAGCGAAGCCAAAAATGAAGTGACAGACGGTTGCTTTGGTGTTAGGTACTTGAGGAAGTATGAGTATAGCTGAATCATCGTAAGTTTATGCAGCCCCACAAGCCGCGACACCAGCTGCAGAACAAGCAACTTCTGTTCGAGATTCAACTTGGACTTGGTATTTTGCAGATGTTTCGAGAAGAGTGTCTCCGCAAAACCCTGCGGGTCGTGTAACAGATGGAACGCGGAGAAATTAAGCGGATGCGGCTGATTATTCTTCTTCTCCTTTTTCTTCGCCGTTATAATAGCTTTCTCCACCTGACGTGACTTCTTCTTGGTCTTTTTATTGATCGCAAGCTGGTGGCGTACTCGTGATATATCAGGTATCTCTTCGTCGCTGCTCTCATCCTCTAGCTCATCTCTCTCCTTGTCACCAGCAAGGAAGAAGCGTACCCCACCAACAGCCACTTTCTCATTATCTGCCAACGAGGCCTCTTTCATGATCTCCACTGCCTTGGCATCGGTCCATATTTGCCGTTTCCATAACTCTCTTGTAATTTTGATGGCCCATAGAGCTTTTATGGATGTCCTATCGGATGTGACGAGGTTGTAGAGGACTGTTTGGATGGTTCTGTTTAGTTTATGGTTGATAGTCTTTGAATTTGAAGTGCGAAGATCAGAGATGATCTTTTGGAATATGAATGCCCGGAGCGTCTTGCTTGGAGTGGAAATAAGGACCGGGAAGAGAGTCTGCAGGAGTCTGTAGTCGATCGCATCAGTTAGCATTCAATACAGACATAAAAATCCAAATCCGCACTCACGAATTCAGAATTCAAGGAATGAGAATAAATAAAACCATACGTAGCAGAATCAATAATCTCTTTCTTCCTCAACAACACCAAACTACCCACAATCTTCTCGCGCAAATCTCTCTCAAGCACAGCATGATGCTGCAACAATATCTCAATTAACTCATTCGGGAAATTCTTCGTAATATCACTGTAGCAATCTGCCACATGGGCGATAAAGTCAATCAGCTCGCGCAGTGAAATTATCCCCGTGTCCGTCGCTGATGATGGCGCCGCCAAGAATATCTCCCGGTGGCTCTCATATTGGTAGTGTTGACTGCGGAAATCTTCGATGTAGGACCTGTGGACGCGAGGGTCGTTAGAAGGTTTGCAGTGAACGAATCACTGGGTGAACTTGGTTTAACATGTAGTGGGGACGGGTATTGGAAAAGTACTTCGGATCTCGTCGGATTTTATGCTGCAGATTTGTTCTGGAATAATTGTTTGCCGGAATCAGCTTGATGCTCTCACGAAAACATAGGATGAGATGATTTAAAAGGTTTTTAAAATCCTTACAGGTCAGCATCCACCTTTTCCAAGGCTCCCAATTTGCGCTTCCCCATGGCTGGAGATTTCTTTGCGTGTAAGTTTGCGGGATAAGAAGAACTCTTTGACGTTGCAGTTGCACTTGTTTAGATTTTCTCATGGTGGTTGGTTCAACCCGTCTGTAAACTTCTTTTTTATTTTAGCCAGCGTCAATGAATGCCCAGACATTGCGGAGCTGCTAAAGACGAGGAATGTGACCGCGGGCAACAAAAATTAAGCTTATGAATAAAAAAAAAAAAAATTTCACTACGGATGATTGCACAGACTACGTGGGACATTATAAGATTATGTGAAGCAAATTACATTGCTCCGACGCTTGTGACATACATAAAGGGAGAAAAGAGAAGCATAACGTGGTGTGGACGTTGTATGCATGTAGCTACGCTTTTCAACTATTCACGGATTGAAAAATTAAACAAGAGAAGAAATTTCTTCATAATTGCATTCAACTACGTAGAAGAAGAAAAACTGGCCCGTCTGTGTGGATTTATCGTTATTCTTCAAAATAAACCCCGTCCACATAATAAATAGAGTCTTTCATTTTTTAGTGTCGCAGATGAATGTGAAAAACCAATCCACCGAACACCGCAGATGGTAGGAAAAAAGAGAGCATGCACAGACATACAAAACACACATGCGCACACAACCCAACAACTCCCCAATATCACGTTTACCGATTACTCTTGGCCACACGCTCCAGCTCGTCCTTCTTCTTGATAGCGTACGAGTTCGAGCTGCCCTTGGCGGCGTTGATCAGCTCTTCAGCAAGGCACTCAGCAATGCTCTTGACGTTGCGGAAAGAGGCCTCACGGGCACCAATGGTCAAGAGGGCGATGGCCTGGTTAACACGGCGGAGGGGGGAGACGTCAACGGCCTGGCGACGGACGGTACCGGCGGAGCCAATTCGGGTGCTGTCTTCTCGTGGGCCGCAGTTGACAATGGCGTCGACAGCGACTTGAATGGGGTTTTGGTCGGTCATGATGTGGATCTATGGAGGAAAAACGAGTTAGATCGATGGCTCTTTTCACTGAATTCCACTCAAGTTGTAAAAAACTCGAGGTATAACGTAGGTACGTACGATCTCGAAAGTGTGAGCAACGATGCGGACGGCCATGAGCTTCTTTCCGTTGTTGCGGCCGTTCATCATCAGGGAGTTGGTGAGACGCTCAATGATTGGGCATTGGGCCTTTCGGAACCGCTTGACGGCATATCGTCCGGCAGAGTGGGAGATGTAGACGGGCTGACGGATTTGAATGTAGTCGCTAATAGGTTGAGAATCATCCACATGTCAGTATATCTGTAATATAATATTGTGTAAATCTATCCTCGCAATCAATTCCCTCCCCCCTATCCGCAGCCTATAGCACTTCAACAATTCCCTGCTCACTTTCCCCTCGCCTCTGCAATTGGTGGTCCCATCCAATCTCCTATTTTCCCTTTATCATATCCTGCGAGCCACATCTTCGAATCTCAAGGGCAACAAAACCACATGCAAATGAAGATTTAGAAAACACATACGTCAGAGACATATCCCGAATCTCAATATCCTCATAGCTCCATTTGTTGAAAAGCTTGATGGTGCCGATTTCTGAGGCAACGTCTTTAGGCAGGACTGGGTAGCCCATGCGGCTTTCGACCTCGACTTCCCCGGTGTCGGACATGTTTTCGTGTGTGGACGCCGTTTAACAACCTGGTCGAGAGAAGGGGAAGGAGAAGATAGACGGCTGGGAATCGTGGTCGTCCTCGTCGTCGTCGTTCGGCGTGTGTCGTCGTTCTCTCTGGAAGTGTTGCTGCGGTGTGTTGTAATTTGAGGTGCGGCTTCGCTAAGCGAGGGTTTAGTCAGCTTTGTGGGAGGTTTAGGGCAGTTGAATGCTTTCAGCCAATCAGAGGGGCGTAACGTTGGGATGGATTAGGTGTGTCACGTGTACGTGCTTGGTGTCCAACCTTTTCAACCCAACTTTTGACAAGCGGATCCACGGACTCAACCACAATCTAGATTGACGAACAACTAGGAAAGACTGTCTTTTGTGTGCTTCATTAGGTATATACGTCGCTACCTAGGTATCTATTCTCTATATAGATACATTCCTCATTACTCGCCGCCAACAGGACAATTAGGCATCCCCGTTTGCCATTCCATCTCTGCATACTTCCGCAAATACGTATTGGTGGTGAACTCCTTCGGCATATAATACTGCACGTCAACCATCGTATAATTACCACCCACCTTAGCCAATGCAGGCAGCACAAAGCGCTCCGCAATGAAGTCCACAAATATTAAATCAACTTTCTCCGGGTCACTTCTATTAGAAGGGAACGCCGCCTTTGCCTGAACATCAATGGGTTGCTTGAAGTGCGGGATCTTCGAGTGAGGCGTGTCATCACCGTCTGTTCCGAAGTCATCAGTCGTGGTATAGCCAGGGTTGTTTGTTGTGGAGTCCCGTGGATGGCGAGTGATGGACCGTGGTTTAAGAAGGTCTCGCTTCCCTTGCATCGATGTTATTAATGGGGGATCCTCGCAGGAACCGCTCTTCCCTACAAGGATTGAATTGGAGAAGGTGTCTACACTTAGACTGCTCCTCCTCTGGTATGGCCCAGCATTCAAGATACCTAGTATCTCCTTCGCCTGCAAATAGGGCACGTCTGCGATGAACTGGAATGTGTTTTGGTACGGGCTGACTGTATACGAGTCATCCAATGTAAACGGGCCCTTGACGAGATCATATCGGATGTTGCCCGTGTTCATAAGAATCAAGCGTGGTATATTCGCCCGCGATTGGTTGATGACAGTTGCAGCTAAAGCTTTCTTAGCCAGGGTGAAGATATTTCCATCATCTCCAAATGGCTTGCAAGTCACGCAGTATGTTTGAGGAACACATGCAATAACAACTGATAGGTTTTGAGCCTTGCGGAATTCCGTGATATCCCCTGTCACCCATTTCCCAAGCTTAGAATCAAGCTTGGGATCTTGTGACCCAACGGCATGGAATGCAAATGTGAGGCGATTCCAATCCAGATACCTACGAGAATACATTATGTCCTTATCTCTTGCTTTGTCACATGATTGAGGCGTCCTAGTGGATGCCGTTTCGTTTGCAATAGCCTTCCTAGAGGGGTTGGGAACGCCACGCGGTTTCTCACTCCCCTTAAAAGTTGATGATTTGATTCCAGACATGGAGAGCCACCCGACGGTTTCACAATATTTGCCCGATGCAAGACCAGTTGATTTCATATCCCAGACAACAAAGTCCCGAACATGTGCATGACCTCCGAATATCTGTATTGGTACTTCTGGTCGCAGATCTCGAATGGCCTTTTGGACTTCTGATAACGTACTGCTGGGTTCAGTTGATCTAACAGGATTATGTCCAATTACCACAAATAAATCAATGGGTTCAAGCTTGACAGCGTCGATAAACCACTGTTCCTTGATCATGTCTTTGGCTTTGGTAATCTTGGACACGTTCGAATTCCCTTTGAAGTCGAACAGAACGCCAAAGGACATGATATAGAGTCCGTGGTCAGTGGTGAAGTGGCGGAACTTATTTCCCATATCTTCGAATTCTCCCGTGGCATCGTTGAGGATTTGAACGTTGCTGGTTAGGTACCTCTTCCCGTAAAACTTTGAGAAATTTGCAAAGGTCTCATAAGCCACTTCAGTGACATAGAGCTCATGGTTCCCAACAGTCAGCAAATCGTAATCGATCGTGCTAAATACTTCGTTTGTATATATGCCATTGGGTTTTGTAGTGTCGCCCAATCCATTGCCATCATGCAAGTCACCTAGAAAAAAGACCCAGTTCAGACCACGAGGAGAAACATGGATTATTATATGGGAAGGCAGGCGCACCGGTATCAATCAGCAACAAATCAACATTCAACTCATTCGCCCTTTTGCGCATATGTTTGACGAAGGAGACATAATCTCCCCAATCGGCTCCATAGTTCTCTTCCTTAATATGGCCTGCTAGCCAGCCGTGCGTGTCGGTCGTGTGGAGGAAATTGATCTGTCCCCATTCAAGTGGACCCTTAGGCTTCGTCGTTGCGTTCGGTGCTTCTGGCTGCATGCGACGCACCAATCTCTTGTGGCTCGTGTAGTCTGAGGGGCCATAGCAAGAGTCGCACGCGTATATTGACGGTGCCATGCATGCGAGCAGACAGTGGAAGAATAGGGGGAGCAAAAACATTTGCGCAGGTGATCTCCTAACAGAATGATAGACTTGTGCTAAGAAGAAAGATATGGTTGTGTTCTTTTCTTTCTTTTTCCTGTCCTCAGAGCAGAGCAGGAGCAGGTGAATAGGGTCCCGCGTCAGATATTGCACGCCGCTGAGGAGGATGAGGGAAGTAACCTGGTGATTATTATTGTTGCGGCAGGTTGATCTTTTAATACTATCTGCACATAACTTCTGGAACAAGCATCCTCTTCCATCATGGGTTCGGGGTGCCATGGATGTGTAGCTCGTGTAGGGGTTATTAATTGCGCTGAAGCATGTCTGAATGGCTGTTTGCTATTCGCTGCGATCGACAGTACAACAATCTGTTGGGAACTTTTATCTGTCTGTCCCCTGTAACTACCCCGTGGCTCACTAAACAAGGAGGTCGTTGGGCGGAGGATCCGCGGATATTTTTTTGCTTCCATGGTATAAGTGCTAGTGTCTCCGAGTAACTTCAAATGACATGCATTTGTATTCATTATTATTACTATTTTTTCTTCCTCAACCGTCTTTGGCTGGTTCAACGACGGCATTGAAATTGATGGATAGTCGACATTACTGTCGTTGGTATAGTCCATTACCTGGATAAGCTGTTCTGATGGCACTTGAGTTTGCGGATAAAGAGTAATCGACTGTTCAGTTCGAACCTGTCATATACAACAGCACACATTCGCGTAGGTGGCGCAATAACAAGATGATACATTTGCTTGATTTATTTGGTTTGTAGATATAATGGATTTGACCGTTTTCACCCTTTGCATTTCGTCCATTGGACGTTGTGGTTGACACGGAAATATCTTGCATACAAATACATAGTTGGGACAGCAGCTCTACCAACTCGAATCCAGGGAGCGTTCATTGAGTTCTAGTACTCCGCACGGAAGAAGCTGTTTATATAAATTGCAAGAGAGAGATCATTTCTTCTTTTCGCGTATGTCAACACAATCTTGGAAACCAAAATTGTTGGGGCTATGGGTTAAGGCTCCCTTCTTCTTAACTGAGTATTTGAAACAGCATTTCTGCTTCGACAGGTTCCGTGTTTAATGCGGTTTGCCAGAGAATGTCAATTGGATTTATTATAGAAATGAGAAATGTCCTTGCTGGCCTGGTTGGTGGAAGTGAGCTCGACACTCCTGGTAAACGTAAATTGACTGTTCTATTGAATCCAGGGAGTCTCTGATTTCAGGATCGACTTGACTATGCACCAGCCTGAGTAGCGTTGGTGGCTGATGGAGTGAGTCGACGTCATTGTCCAAATATATGATGACAATGAAGAGAGCTGAAATATAAACCCGATAACCGCTAACTTTGACGTTGTCATGAGCCAGGGTATATATTGATCAGAATAACTGGGCAGTTATATTATACCTGATAACTAACAATCAGATTGCAGTGGCGGCGGAGCACAAGTTGAGACATCTGCCTAGTTAGTTACGTTAGTTTCGGGCCAGAAGAACTAAATATCTCGCAGCAACTCATTGACTCATCTTCCGCAACTATTCAGCAAGATATTTACTCCGTAACTTTTCGTGTCTTCCCCACGGCGGTTAAAACAGTTGGTTGTTCTAGTTCTTGTTCTTGATAATTTCCCCGCAAAAACGTTTGTGCGCGGGCCGCCGTCTCAGCCTCCTCCAAGATTTTTGTTAAGACGAGAGACGACTTCTGGAGTCAAAACTTCTTGTTCCTGACACAAACCGACCGGTCTTCTACTCCCGGCGCTCATAGACTGACGTGTTCCTTTTTAACCTGGCACATCGGGACCAGTGCCCTGAAACTATCATCCTGCTATGCCCAATCTCTTATCCCCTCGTTATCATAATTGCTTCTAACCGCGTTAACTATCCACCCACCCCAACGACCATGGCTGAGGATAACCCAGAGCTGCAGGTCGCCTTGCGCCAGCTAGACCAGGAGTTCGATGTGAGTAGTTCTTCTTCAAAATGCCCCTCAATTAATTGCTGACATCCTCGTTCCGTTTAGGACGGTGAGATCACTCAAAAAGGGTAAGCAAGTTTCCTTTCATTTCTCTTCTGACCCGTTCCTTTTTTACCGGCTCCGCAACGCGATTCGCGTGGTGTCGGATCTCAAAGCCGCTGCTGCAGGCCCTGTTTTCTTGTGGCTAGCCCCCAAAATGGAACAAACAATGGAGAGATCTTTTTCTTGTTAGCCCACGATTAACATTCATCAAGATACGAAAAGCGTCGTACCCTGATTCTATCCCATTACCTATCTACGAACAACGGCGACCCCACAGACAGAGGCCTCAGAATTGCTAATCCAGGAAATGCGGCGAACCGTCGGGCTTCCCATCTTGGTTTATACTCTCCTGCAACGTCATCGCAGGGCAGTCGTCCGGCCAGCTCGACTTTGTCAGATGAACGTCAACAATCCGAATCACTGTCTGCAAATTTCATTGGCGGAGAACAGGAACGCGTAAAGGGTGACCAGATGGCTGGAATGAATGCTATGGCTGATGCTCACTATCAAATGCAAGCTGGAAATCAGCTGGCACAGATTCGGGAGAGAGAATTGGGCCTTTCGTTTGGGGTCGAGCGGAACCCGTCTTCAGCATCGAATGATTCGCTTTTTCTTCCTCGAGGCCAAGCACCATCAGGGAATAATTATGACACCTCTCGATCTGGTACTCTAACGAGTCATAACTACGCATTTAATCCAGCCGATCAGCCTAGCTACGGGGAACCCCGCACCAGTACATATAGCCCACCAGGTGGTAATGGTGGTCATATGCGACAGTCTACGATGCTAGACTCACAACAGGCCTTTTTCTCAGATTTCGCTGGTCAGCAAATGGAGGACAGTCGAAATAGCTATGGAGGGTCCTTCCAACGGTACTCAACCCAAACTGAACCATTTTCACCAATCGCCAACATGGCTCCGCCCTTGATGAACACGGCCGATTTACCACAGGGAATGGACGTCGATCATCTGTTACCCCTCGAACCTCGAGATATACCCTTTGACGTTCACGATCCTCACGATCCCAGCATGTCCATGTCGAAGTTCGATAACTTACCCGCAGTCCTGAGGCATCGCGCACGGACTCATCCCAAACAGCCCGCTTACTGGGTATTGGATCAGCGCGGAAAAGAAATAGCGTCAATTACATGGGAGAAGCTGGGGAGTCGGGCGGAAAAGGTTGCGCAAGTCATCCGTGATAAAAGCAGCTTGTATCGAGGGGATCGGGTAGCGCTCATATACCGAGACACTGAGATTATTGAATTTGCCGTTGCGATCCTAGGCTGTTTCACTGCAGGAGTTGTAGCTGTTCCCATCAACAACCTTGAAGACTACGCTAGCCTCAACGTTATTCTTACATCCACCCAGGCTCATCTCGCCTTGACGACCGAGAACAATCTGAAAACTTTCCAGAGGGACCTTACAACTCAAAAGCTCAATTGGCCCAGAGGGGTGGAATGGTGGAAGACTAATGAGTTTGGAAGTTACCATCCCAAAAAGAAAGAGGATATTCCTGCACTCGTTGTCCCGGATTTGGCCTACATTGAATTTTCCAGGGCACCTACTGGTGACCTGCGGGGCGTTGTGATGAGCCACCGGACAATCATGCACCAGATGACCTGTCTTAGTGCTATAGTGTCTTCCTCCAACCCTGGCGGTAATACCCGGCAAGCAAGACCGCATGGCGAAACCCTATTTAGCTATTTGGATCCCAGACAGAGTATTGGTATGATTCTTGGGGTTTTGTTTACGGTGTATGGTGGCCATACAACTGTCTGGCTGGAGGCTCTGGCAGTTGAAACCCCTGGTCTCTACGCCAGTTTGATTACAAAATATAGGGCTACACTCATCTCGGCGGACTATCCAGGGTTGAAACGTGCTGTCTACAATTACCAGCAAGATCCCATGGCAACCAGAAACTTCAAAAAGGGATCGGAACCAAATTTCTCCAGTCTTAAACTCTGTCTCATTGATGCTCTTACCGTTGACCCTGAATTCCATGAGATTCTGGCTGACAGATGGCTGCGTCCTCTTCGCAATCCACGTGCTAGAGAGCTAGTTGCTCCCATGTTATGTCTACCTGAGCATGGTGGCATGGTTATTAGCGTTCGTGATTGGCTTGGTGGTGAAGAGCGTATGGGATGTCCCCTCACACATGAAATGGACCCTGCTCCACAGGTTGAGTCAGCTGAAACAAAAAAGGAAGAGAAGGTTGAGAGCGTTAAGACTGGGTTTGGAAGTAGTTTGATTGGTGGAACTGCCGTCCCAACCCAAAAACAATCTAAAAGCAATAGAGTTGAGTTGAATCAGGTTCTCCTTGACAAAGAGGCGCTTAAAAATAATGAGGTTGTTGTGCTAGCGATGGGAGAAGAGGCAAGGAAACAGGCCGAAACTATGCCCAATACCGTCCGGGTTGGCGCCTTTGGATATCCTCTTCCAGATGCTACCTTGGCTATTGTCGACCCTGAGACTGGATTGCTATGTACGCCGAATATCATTGGCGAGATTTGGGTCGACTCTCCTTCACTCTCAGGCGGCTTTTGGGCATTACCAAAACATACTGAAGCGATATTCCATGCTCGACCATACCGATTTCAAGGCGGGAGTCCCACTCCAGTGATTGTTGAACCTGAATTTCTCCGTACGGGACTTCTGGGATGTATCATTGAGGGCAAAATATTCGTCCTTGGTCTGTATGAAGACCGTTTGCGTCAGAAGGTAGAGTGGGTGGAGAATGGTGCGAAGTCCACAGAGCACCGCTATTTCTTCGTTCAGCACTTGATTATCAGTATCATGAAGAACGTACCTAAAATTCATGACTGCTCGGCCTTCGACGTGTTCGTCAACGATGAGCATTTGCCTGTTGTTCTTTTGGAGTCTTATGCTGCGTCGACAGCACCGACGACGTCGGGTGGACCACCACGACAACTTGACATAGCACTTTTGGACTCCCT